TGAATTATCCAGATTTTTCCATCACCACCCCCCTATGGGGGAGGGTTCGCGCCCCTAGATTTTTGGCACCAATAGGTGGGGGGGACCTGAAAATGTAATATTACATTTTTGAGATTCGCGCTTTCAGCTTTCAGGCAATCCAATAAGGAGGCCCCCTTGGAGTGCGCTGGGCAAGAAGCTTCTGGAAAAGCAATGGGCAAATACGGAAAACACATGCGCAAAGCATACAGTCATTTCAAAGGGAGCCAGGGCCAGATGCGTGTTTTGCCAAACTTTAAAAACGATGGAAAATCAACGGGTGCGGATTTATTTTGAGAATTGCTTTCGCTTTTTCTTTTTGATTTTTCGTTTTTCGTCCAGGCCAGTAAAATGTCGTATGTTACAGCATTTTCTCGCGCAATTGACGCATTTTACACTAGCCCGTCAACATCCCCAGCATCGTTTTCAACAGCCCCCCCATGTCCGACCAGCATCCCTCGCGTCACCAACAAATCATGTGACGGGGTCAAAGAAATGATGATTCAAGCAGGAGGGCGTTCAAACATAAATAAAAAGTAGTTGGGGGGGGGGGGGGGGGGGGGGCGGCAGTCCCCCCCATGATGTTGTTTGCAGAAGTGATGATTTGAATAGGGGTGCATTTTTTTCTCGCTCCTTTTTCCGCAGCAGCTCTGTCCATTTTTAGGGGGCCCTGGGCACAAGGGCTGCGCAGGCTGTTTTTTCGGAGGCCAGCTTCCTCACCTGCAAGCGCTGTTTTTATGGAGGCCAGCACCCTCACATGCAAGGCCGTACCGGGCAGGCAGGCGGGACACCTTCGGGGCATCCCGGACGCCCGCCAGCAAGTCACTGATGTCGGGGCCGGGCCCGTCAAGGTTGCACTCAGCAAAAGCTAGGGATGCAGCCGCGGCGAGCAAGCCAGACCAGCGGTGCACGTACGCGCCGCGCAAAGCAGGCCGCAGCACGGCTGGGGCAGCACGAGCTTTGGCGTGGGCCAGCAAGCGCACAAACTCTGCGGCCTCAGCACTCCAGCGGCCCCCAACTTCAGCCCCGAGAGCTCCATTCCACAAGGGCAAGCCGTTGGCAATGACCTCGATGCGGCGGTCGTCAAAACGTGCGACCGGCACATTCAGATCGCGCACAAGTGTGTTACAAGTGACACGGGCCCCCGCCTCCCTGCAAACACGAGCTGCCGCTCGCTCGAGCGGGCATCCCCGACTCCGCAAAGCACCAGAGCTAGCGCAGGCTGCTCGATGGTCGCCAAGAGGGTCGAGAGTTGTGCCCAGGAGCCTGCTGGACCTGCACTCTCGGGCGTTCTCCCAGGACGCACTGACCACGGCAGGGTTTCGCCCGCCTTCTTGGGAGGAGTTGCTTGACAATCCAGCCCCGCCGTCATCTTTGGACTTGTCCGGGCACCTGCCCGAGCCCAGCGCCCGGGGCTGGCAAGCGCCCGCTGCCACTGGCTGCCACTGCCTGAACAACTCCAAGCTGCCCTACTGCCACAGCTTGACGCTGCGTCCCAAGCGCGGTTGTTTTCCCAGACTGGGCCTTTCAGCAGCCGCCCTTTCTGCAGTGTGCCGTCCTGCCCCAAGCTCACCTTCCACTTGCCCTTCTGTTGCGGCGTTTGCGCCTCCCCTTGCCCTTGTCCGCGCGCAGCTGCCGGTGCCGTCGCCCAAGTTGGGAGCTGGCGATGCAGCACGGGCAGCGTGTCTGCCCACGACGCCCAATACGCAGCCGGGGCTAGCGCAACGCCAGACCGCAGGTTGAGGCCGCCTTGCTGGAAAGGAAGCTGGGCGATCTGGAGGGCAGAGTCTTAAGGGGGCCAGTCCCTAACAGATCCACAACACATGCGGCGATGGCCGCATCGTGGGACTCGGCAAAAGCCAGCGAGGCCACGAGCAGCAACGCACGCAGAACATGGGTGCACCGGGGAGAGGCACAGAACAAAAGCAGCAACCAAGCGGACTGTAAGTCAGGCAGCGTGCGGATGCCTTGGAGGAGCTGATCTTGCTTGGCCCTCGTGAGCTGGAGCTGTGCCGCAACAAAGGCAGGATGGCCGCATGGGACGCCGAGAGCCACCAAACCCTGCTGATCCGAAGGCAGGCCCCGGCCTACCGCGGTGAAGCTGTATATGGGCGTGCCGGTGCAGGTGCAGGTGCAGAGACAGCAAATCAAAAACAACCCGGGCACGTTCCGGCGACGTGATGACATAAATGTCATCGAGAGGTAGGCCAACAGACATTCGTCCGGAGGCAGATGGCGGCGCACCTCGGCGAGGGCCGCATGCTGACCCAAGGCGAACAAAGCAGGCATCAACAGGTCGCCCTGTTCGCCGCCTTCCGCCTGCGAAATCAGGGTCAGCGTCATGCCACACAAACCGGGAGGGGTCAGAGTAGAACTGGCGCACAAAAGGCAAGCACCCATTGGCGCCGGGAGTGCTGGACAAGGCCTGCAGCATGGCTTGTCGGCTGATGGTATCAAATGCGCCGACGCCATCGACGGACAGGATGGTTGCGTCAGGACGGGACTCAGTGGCAACAAGGAGGGCGTGGGCCACGGCCTCCGTGCCGGCATGAGTGGACAAGGCAAACTGAAAAGGCTGGCACGCGTCCAGGAACCGTGTTGCAAAGCTTTGAGCCAAGGAGCGAGCCACCAAACGCCGCAAGAAGTCACCAACCACGATCCCCCGGACGCGCCCATTGGGTTTCTGAAGGGCGACCATGCGCCCCAGGCCAAAGGCCGCTGCGATGCACGGTGGGACTCTCGCCTGAGCCAGGGCGGAGGCAGCACGAACAAACGAGGAACTAGTCGCCTCGTCATCCAACGCCGGACGGCAGAACTCCGCAGTGTAACCGGTGGGGCCGGCAGCAGCTCCTTTCCGAGCCCGCCGCAAATTGCCAAGCACAGTGGAAGCTGTGAGCACGACAGGGGGCTCAGGTTGGAAAGCCAAAATTGCAGGATCGATGGGGTCATACGGCTGGTCGGGCCTCCGGGCGGGGTCCTGTAACTCGGCCAGGGTGGCGGGTGTGAGCGGGGCCAAGGGTCCAGAAACCAATGCAGAACTCGCAGCTGAAAGCTCGCCCTGGCCGACTAATCGCGCAGCTCGCTCCGCACGACGCGCTGGATCGGCCGGGGCGGCGGGGGGGGGCATCGGTTGCAGCTGGAACGCACGCGGCGGCAGACTCGAGCAGTGCATGTCAGCAACCTAAAAGCTGTTGGACACCAAAGAGAACCCCAAAACAGTCACATTCAAAGAGGCTCAGGGCCCCTTGTGGACAACCTCCTTTGTGTGACTGTTTGCCCGCACTTTTTGTAAGGAAGTTATCTTGATGGTTTGGGGACCACTTCAAAAGATCCTGTTTGCTGGTTGTTTTTGCTCGACTTCTTTGCCAAGTTTGTTTGGCCCATATTTTATCGGAGGCTTAGCCCCAGACAAGATCAGGAGAGTAAAAAAAGAGAGTCGAGGGGGGGAATGATTGCTGCAATTGAGGACCGCAAAACAGTCACAAGATCCTGAATTGCGGGAAAAAATGCCACAATAGAGTGGACTATGAATAAAGGAGGTGTAACATTAGCTTTGGCGGACGCTTGTGCCGGCCTTTGGTCTTTGTATGGAAATTTGTGCGGGGGCTGCCGCATGACCTTGCATCATCGCGGAGGGTGCGCCTGGAACTGGGGCTGCCGCCTGCTTTACCAGCCGCGACTGCAAGAGCCCGGCTGGTGCGACTTTGCAGGGGTGGCTGCCCATCTGGCTGATGGCTGGCAAGCTGCGGCCTGGGGCCGGCGTGCCCCGTTGGGAAGTTGCAGCAGAAGCTGGTTTGCCTGGGCTGCAAGTGCGGCGCATGTTGCGCCAGCTCCGAAAAGGGCCGCGTGAAGCAGCGGCGCAGAGGTCCGTTGTTGGAAATCCAACTTGCCCAACAAGCAGCCTGAGTCACATCTTGCTCGCAAAAGCTGCCAGCGCTTGTGTGCATCACCCGCGTGCTGCACTTCCTTCATGCGCTTCCTGCACGCATGCCTATGCATGCCTGATCATGCATGCCTGCATGCCGGCGTTGCTTGGAGTCGTTTTTTTTCTCGTTTTCGTTTGTTAATTTCTGTTCTTGTTGTTGCTGTGGGATGCTGCCAGGTGTTTGGCTTTGGCGTTGTTTCGTGCCAAAGGCCGTGTCTATCTGGCTGCCTGCCTGTCTGCCTGCCTGCCTGCCTGTCTGTCGGGACTAGATTTGAGTGTGTGCGTGTGCGTGATTGTGTGTTGTGCGTGGTCATTGTGTGCTTGGTTGTGTGTGTGTGTGGTTGTGCTTTCTGCGTTCCGAGGTGTACTTGGGAACGTTGCGGTAATATGATTTGTTTCGCCAACTGAATATCTCAAGGGATTGCTGTGCGCCGCGACAAACATTGCCGCATTTTGCTGCCACAGTGCGCCGGGTGCCGCTAGCTGCTTGGCAGCAATGAACGTCAATTGTGTGCCAGCTTGTAAGAACAACACAAACATGTGTGGAAAACATGGACAAGAAGATCATAGAACAATATGTGTTGAATTCATCCTGCAGCATTGCTTGAATATCCCTTGTTTCTCTCCCGTGCGGAGCTCAGGTAGGGAGGTGCAATTCTTCGCAATGAATTACGCTACGTGCGTATGCCCCCCTCCCGACGCTTCCAGCTCCCCTGAACGAGACCACACCTAGCCCCTTACCTTGCCCTTAGTCTGCAAGGGCCAACGCACGTAAGTCCAGCCCAAGGACTCAAAGGTCGCCAGCGCCAAGGCTGTTTTGGTAGACTCGGCTGGCTCAGCCCAGCGCAATCAGTTGACGCAGGAGAAGGCCTCCTGACCCGTGTTTTGATGTTTTGTTGGTTGGCCTCGTGATGCATTCTCGTGTAAAACGTGAAAGGTGACAAGACTATTCCCAAACCAACGCGTTTTTGTTTCGGTTTTAGAATTAAGGTTTTGCGGTTCTCATTGCATAAACACGTCAAGATTTGGCGCCAATTTTTCCTGCCTCAGGCTCGCCATGGCCATGGCATTTGTGGCGTCGGCACCTGGCGCTGCCCCGGGAGCTCAGGTTGCTTCGCATGGGGTCGCTGTGTTCACCCATGAGCTTCATATGCGCACGGAAGCAGAGGTCTTGTGGTCTTGTTCAAGGCACAAGCGGTCCGTTTGCTCTAATTACTCGTTCAGGTGTGTAACAACATCTATGCAGCTTTCACCCAGCCAACAAGTTGTTCGACGGATGCATCAGCATGTGCAAAGCCCTACGGCGCGCCTTCCCTGGAGAAATGCGTCTCCAAACCTTGAGAACGGCAAGCTGTGGCTCAGATTTGTCTCAACAGCAGCCAATTGGAGACCATACCACGCGAGTTTTTGCTGTTGTGCACTCTCTGGGCTTGCTTGCAGGGGGCTGTAAGTTGCAAATTGGCATTTGTCTTCAATCAGGCTGACATTTCCTACGGTTGTTCAGTATTTTGTCTCAGCCGCACATTCGATGCAAGTTACAGGCACTCAGGGGTTTGCGCACTGACACGCAGGCAGTCCGTCAGCATGCCTCGCTGGCAGCCCGCCAAGATCTGGGTGCAGGTGTTGCAAGAGAGCATGGCGGTGTAGACATGTGTAGACGACATGTGCGAGGGTTCCGCTAAGCTGACAGAGATTTCACAGCCCTGTGCACAACTTGACGCTCAACCCTTGGAACCAAACATCGCAATGACTTCATTTTCACGGTGCATGTGTTTTGCCCGGAAAACTGCCTCAAAATTTGGGTTGCCGTTTGAGTAGGGATGGAAATGCCACCTCAGCGTTCCGCTTGCCGTTTCTCATCACGGCCAGCCTTTGCCCTACGCGCCTCGACCGTGTCAGACCCCATGTCGCTGCCTGACGACGAGTCGCATAGCCCGGCCAGCGTGAGCACCACGTGCCTGACCTCGGATCACAGCTGCAAGCCATGCGTCTTCTTTTTGAAACCTCAGGCAGGGGCACGATTTGGCACGCTGCATGGGCCCCGTTATTTTTTTAGATGCATGAGATGGAGGTCACGCATCATGGGCCGACGTTTGCAATGTGTCTCGTGCCTGCATTAAGTTTTAGCTACAGCCGAGTCAAGTGAGCAGTAGGAACCCTTGTTCAATACTACTTGGTGCCATTTTGTTGTTCCGGTCTTGTACCATTTATCATTTCGTTGCCAAGGCAGACGGACCGGGTTTGTGTCATGCCCATGTACTGCTCTCAATTCATGGGCCTTTGAGTCAATCGTCAGGGCTGCCGCAACGGCGCGGACTGCTCTTTTTGCCACCTTTGCCATCCTAAGAGTCGGAAGGCCAAGAAGGACGCGCATGGGACGTGAAAGCACCAGGATGACGCGCATGGGTCGTTTCTCAAGCGCGCTGGTTTGCAGGGTTGCAAGTTGTTGGTAACAACATTGTACGAAAAAAGCAAGCCTTGCTAACAATGGGTTTTAGCGAATCAATGAACAAGGACATCGGCCTGGCACTGCGAACATCCACACAGGCACGAGCAAGCCCATTGGATAGACCTTGTGAGGTGCATTTTGGTGGTCAAAACGTTGGGTCCTGGACTATGGAAATTGTCAGGGGGGGGGGAGCCTGCATGCCTAATTAGAACCTAGGGATGAGAGAGCGATGCTGAAAACGCAGCTTTGCAGGAGGAGATGATGCCCAAATACGTGGAGTTTTCTGAGGAGGCAGCCAGGGGGAACGGAAGAAGTACTTTGTGTCGGACAATGATCCTTTCTTTTATCAAGAGATGACATGTGGCATAGGGAAAAACCGTGCTAAACTGATGGGCGCCCGAGGCAGTGTCCAAAGGCTCCGCGAAGCACGGAGTGGACTGCAAGCCCTGCGCATGGTTTTGGCATCCCAACGGCTGCCAGATCCTTGGCTCAACTTGGGGGGTGTTTCGAAAATGGGTCTCCAGCGCTAGCTTTTGTTGCCTTTTATGCAGTGTTTGAGTCCACTGATGCAATCCCGGCGCTAACTCACTTCGAGAGTGGCATGTCATTAGATTGTTTGGCGCATCCCAGGAGTGGCAGCCTTTGCGAGTTCTGCCACCTTTGCCCTGTTGGGGAGCTGAAGGCTAGGCAGAAGGAGCGCACGAAGCTTCTTCGTGCCTCGGATGTATGAGGGTCAGACTCTCCAGGTTGCGTTTGTTGCTGGTTTCTGGTGGACTTTGTCCGAGTCCTGGACAGGCACACTAGTATATCTAATTCGGGATGTCGCACGCCTCCAGTTCGCCATTTCAAGTCACGCCGTTTGGCACAGGCGGTGTTTCAGAAACTGCCCAATTCTTTTGTAGCTTCATTCCCTCCTTTGGAGGCGAAGGCTCAATGCGACATGTGGGACCCGCCTGAGGTGCAGCCAAAGAGCAGCCTGCGAACCAGAACGTGGCTCAGGCTGCCTCGGATTTGCAGGGTGGCCTGCACCTTCCCAGCAGGTTGTGTGAATAATATGCTTTTGTACGTATACATATATATATATATAAATAAACATATATACATATAAATGCTAGAGTGACACAGGAAATGTAGCGGGAAGGTTTGATTTGCGCGTTGCCGCTGGTGAATGTCCTGCCAAGCTTGGCGGCAGGATTGGGAATCTAAGCTAGCTTGCAGTGCGCAGGCCAGTCTTTGCAAACGGACCATTCAAAGAGTGCTTGCACACATTTGCTCAAATCACTACGCACAGTAGGAGTCGTGGTAGGCAGGAAGTCCAGACTCCCGACATGCCAAACTTCAAGTTGGCAGTAGATGAGAACAACAAGGCCACAGAATTGCCACTGCTGCGGGTGTGTGGGACTGTTCAGCCTTTTGGGCGTCGACCATTTCTTTCTTCCTGGCCTTCCTTGGCTGGTTTGCCTTGGCACCTTTGGGGCTGGAGGTAGCCAGCAGCATGGGTCAATGTGAGAATCAACTGTACCCAACAGCAGAGTACCCCAAGAGGGTGGCCTACCTGAAGTACAAGAACCTCAAGAGTGGCCTTGAGTACTGCCAATACGGCAAGGTTCTGAACGCGGATGATGTGCCTACCGGCTGCCAGCCCGTACCTGTTGACAAACTGTAGAAAGACTTCAGTACCGACCTTCGGTGCTGGCCAAGTGCGTTTGCACCACAGGCACTTCATGCAACGGAATGATTGCAAATGCTGGCGTGGCAGCTGTGGCCTCAACAGTTTTTGTTCGCATTGCCCTCGGCACACTGTTGGAGCGGTATGGCCCAGTGAATGTTCAAAGCGGTTTACTGAGCTTTCTGGGTTGCAATGGCTGCTGCCATTTCAGCACCATGGAGCTACACCGTGATTCAATTTTTCATCGGGTGTGCCGGTGCCACATTTGTGACCAATCAGTTCTGGTGCCACATTTGCGTTAAACCTTGCCAAGGATAGGCCTCAAAATGTTGCAATTCTTACTGGCAGTTTTGTCAGTGAAGCAGCTTGTTCAATTCAAAACAGATCCCTATCAGACCATGCCCATTTTGCAACCATGCACCTGCCGATGCTGATCATGCCTTTTGGCATTGCAGCGCTTTCCCACCAAGTCCGAGGCCTCGTGACACTTTGCTCCGACGGCTTGGCTGGCCACGGATTGGCCGTCCTAATGACGCGCTGATCGTGCAGGGGATGTGTTCGGTGCGAGCCCGCACCCTCGCCGACAGATATCAAAGATGATAATCCCATGAATACATAATTCCACCTTGAAAAAGGCAGTAGGTCCATGCACCCCGAACTAGATCAATGGTTGACATACCATGATTTTGATGTAATTACCCGCTTGCACGAAGCAAGCGGGCACTGCCCAACTCTTTGTCAGTGGGGTCGCCCGACTCCACATTTGTGCGGTGATTGTCACGTGTGGGCACCATCGAAGGAAGGTCGTTGCATCAGTTCTGATGCTCGCTTATGTTTTCCACCAGTATCGTTGGCACTGCCAATGCCACTGCAGCAGGCTGGGGCAACTTGGGTGGTGGAGTGACCCAAATCTTTATCGGTCCTCTTCAACCCCATGGTGGGCTCTGGCATGGCGCCAGACACCGCTTGGCGAGTGGCCATGGTCGTTCCTGCAGTTCTCTTTGTTCTTTGCGCCGTCAACATTAAGCTCTTGTGCTGGGACACCCCACAGCCAAGCGTTTCGACGTGTTTGCCAGGTCACTGGGAGGCATCACCAGTGATCTCCTGTTCAAATATGTCGACGTCCGTGGCCGCATTTGGGCGCAGTTCTTGTCCCTCTTTTTCGAGTCAACTTTCCTATTTTGCTTCGGTTTGGTGGACAACTCGCAGCCATGGTATGTGGCTTTGGCAGTGCTCATCTTCTTCTCTCTTTTTGTCCAAATGGCGGAAGGGACCAGCTACGGGATTGTGCCCTTCATGAACAAGCAACAACTAGCAATTGTGTCTGCACCGGCCCATTGATGATCCACTACTTCCATTCCAGGTTCATGCCGGCTACGTTATGTTCTGGACCTTGTTGACGCCTTGCTACTACTGGAGTGAGCACGGTGCCATGTTCCACGGACCAGTGGAGAAATGTAAGCCAAAGGTGGTAGAGACGTCCTCATGCGCAGGTCAAGCAGGCGTCGAGCAGAACGCAGCTGCATTTATGCTTGAAAACGAACCTCACAAACCCAGCGAAGCATCGGGTCTAGGGAAATGTTTCTACTGTGTATGCATCCCTTATATTTCTTTGCCATAATCTTATGGCGAATCGAGATGTCCGGGAGACCCATCTTGGCAAATCGACGCCCGCCCGCCTTGCAGGCCCAGCCAGAGGAAGGTGAAGGCGGGAGAGACCCTCAAAACCCTTTTCAGTTGCGATGGGTTGCCCAGATTGACAAGAGTTCCACAGGCCGGGCGGCGTTGGTCTAGAGGGTTGCCTCCTGAGGCGCTGAAATTGCAACGAACCGTAAGAGGAAATTGGACGGAATAGCTCAGGGGTGTTCAGTTGTGAAGGTAGGTTTTGGAGTGCTAGGGACGCCAAAAGACCAACCGTTTAGTGTGGTTCGTGCCGATGGACCGATGGACTCTGGCCTTGATCGGGCGTCAGGTTTGCCCTCCATTGGCTCGGCGGCTCATGGCACGGATTGCCGGCCTTGCGCCTGGCAGCTGTGGCTGCAGTTGGGCAGTCCTGGCCATGGACATTTTAGTAGGGAACCACCTGAAAAGTGACTGGTCGACATGAATCCCCACCGAATTTGGATGTCCACCGGAAGGTTTGCACTGAAAATTCACAGCCTCCTGGCTTCTGTTTGCGCCACGAAAGAATCTTCAGGCCCAATAAACCACCTTGGGATGTGTTGTTCCCAGCTGAGTCACTCCTTTGCGCACTCAGGTTTTGGAAGGAGGGCGGGTGCAAGAATGGCAAGGAGTGCAGGCATTGCCACCTATGTCCAGAGGGTGAAATTCGCCGCAAGAAGAAGGTGAAGCAGGAGATCTGGAAGGTTCTGGGTAGGTCACAAAGGGATTGCGTGGAGGCAACGTGAGTGTGTTGTGTGTGGGTTGCCTTGCTGTCCTTGGCAGTTGGTGCGTCAATCCATTTTAGGACGGTGGAGGTTGCCTTTTCATGTAGTTCGCCGAGAGGGGTTCTGGCAAATTTAGCATTGAGTTCCCATGGGTTACCCCAAAAACCCCCGAACAGGGCTACATGCTGGAGACCTGGTGAAGGAAGATGTTGGTTTTCCCTCCCCCCCCCCGCTTGCTTCATCGATAGCCCCGGCGTTCTTTCTGCGTGGAGGAAGAAATGAAAGCTAATATCAGAAGCAGCGATACGGAGAGCAACGCCAGCAGCAACTTGGCTGCGATGTTTCTGGTCTGATTGAAATCGTGGTGGCTCTTCGGTTTCCCTCAGCACGGGGGTTCCTGTTTGCTTCAGTTGGGGCCCCAAATTGGAAGGCCTCCTTGGGCCAGCGGGCAGGAAGTTGCATCTCGTGTGCCTTTGTTCTGAACCAGCGCGAAAGACTCGCATGGGGAGCCTGGCTACAGACATGGCCAACTTGAGCATGTGCACGGCACAGGAGTCGCAAGAGCCACTCCCAAAACCACAGGGCCCTTGAAGCCTGTTGAGTGCCATCCCAAAGCCGAGGCGCTTTGCAGCTTCTCCAATTGCAGCTGCTTCACCAGTGGCTTCGACCTCAGCGCCGGTCCATCGTTTTGCATCATGTTTTTGTTTTCCAAATGCCGTGAATGTCACTTTTGGATGAGCTACTGTGAAGAGTCAAAGCCATAGACAGTTGGCACACCCTGTTGGGAGTGAAAGTGAGCCTGCCATTCCTATCACTGCATAATTCTGCCAGGAGCTTCAACCCAAGCTGACCAGGAATGCATGCGGCAATGCGTTGCAACTGCTGCTTAGGCATGCAAACATGGCGGCAGCAAGCTTGGCAGCTCTATCGTGCGCATCTAGGATGCACTTAAGATGTCAGCCTGACTCAGACTGACAGGCTGGGGGTGCGGGGGTGAGGGTGGAAGCAACCATAAGAGCCGGAGCTTCCGCATAGGTTTTACATAATCCCGAAAGTCTGTTGAAAACACATTGTTGCGGCAAGCACGGTCCATTGCTCATTCGTCAGTGGCTTCGCACTTGCCGACTTGCCCGCGGACCACATGCCAAGCAGCTCCGACAGTGCGGGCACTGACTGCGAGAGGGCCGAAGCATGTTGCTTAATCAAGTTTGGAACACGTGCCCCTTCAATTCCTGAGCTTGAGCCCATCAATCAAGCAAAGTTCCTGCACTAAGTCATGGTTGACCCTTTTCGAGGTTACCCGTTCTTCGCTTTCGCTTGGGATGCTAACAAGAAGAGACACCTGAAAAGAAACTAGAAAGCTACCGTGGCCAATTGAGACCCGCTTGAGGACATGGAGGGCTACTACCCCGAGCACCCCTTTTGACACATGGCATGCGGTGTTTTAATGCTCGGCCGTCGGCCGATTCCCTGAAGGGCGCCCAGTCGTTGAAAACGGCGGGCTGCCGGGGAGAGCTTTTTGTACCAGTAGGAAGTTTAGGTCTCATTTTGCCCCTGACGCTTGAAGCCAAGCGCCAGGCAACTTGTGCTTTGTGCACAGTACGCTGATGTCAGGGGCCAGCCGGAGGGCCTTCTTGGAGTGTTAGGGCACCAGCTAAAGGAGGCCTGGCGTCAATCAGGCTGCAATGCAGGTGGTGGTGTACGGGTCGCTTTTGGGCGCCTCCATGTCTCACTGCCAGGCAGTTGTTGCACGCTTACGTAGCAAGAAGCTATGCATGAAGGGTTGGAAAACGCTTGCATCGTGTGTTCAACCTTCTCCTTGGGCAGCATACCCGGCCGACACAACTCCATTTGTTTGAGCATGGCTCCGCTATGAATGCCTGAAGGCCATCCCCTCATTCAATTGAAATGTTTCATGTGTACATAACGTGCTGTTGTTGCACTTATTTCAGTTTCAGCTGATGTTGCATTCTGGTTCGCCGTCTTTTCGGACATCCGGTTTTGTACTTCCTTGTTTGTTGACATCCGGTCAGTCAGTTGCATCTTCGATAGTCTGGCAGACACGGGGAGATGTTGCTTCTTGTCTCGTTTGGTGGGCCGAATTCGGTCCACCCCTTCAAGGATGGAGCCCGGAAACGCTTTGGTTTAGGCCCACCGGCTGGCATACCTCGGCAACAGCCGCAGAAGGCGGCTGGCTGCTCGAAAAGACCCGAGGGCTGCACAGCTCGCGGCTGCGGGAGGTATGTGTTGAGAAAAATCGGCGTCACGTTTTAACGTCATTCCCATGCTTACGTTCATCCGATCGATCCGATGCATGCTTCGGAAGTTGGGAAAGAGAATGTTGGAACTGGGACCCTAAATTCATTGGCTATCAATTGAGTATACCCATGGCCTATGCCAGCATATGCCGGCAAATGTTAGCTGCCAAGCTTGGCTTGGGTAATTGGGGGCCACGTCACGTCATTCTGAAACGGCCTCTCTTGGGATGAGGATCATGTCAGCTTGTCTATTGGCAGCCGCGGCGCCTTCGGGTCTTTGGCGCGGCTATGTTACGTAGCTCGGTCCAGCCTTGCACGGCCCAAGCATCCCTCAGGTTCCCGGGAAAGGTCGGGGCCTGTTTTTCCCTTGCGCAGTGCGAGGCCATCCAGAAAATGCCGGCAGCTTGCGTGTGCAGCTCACTCTGGGGGTAGCCAATTCCTTGTTCACAATCACCAGAGCGACATGTCATCCGGAATGCCAGGGAGATAATTTGATAAGCATGTAAGCACTCCAGTTTGCTTGAGATGTTGCTCGGTCAACACAACACAACACTCAGGTGTCATGCCATGCTGCCACCGCAAAGCACGAGCTTTGCTGTTCCCCATCAACTAGCCATCTCAAACGTGGCAGCCACAAGCTACTGTGGATTGCCCGTGTTGCATGTCAACAAAGAGTTTGACGAACAGATGATCGAACTCTGCAATGTTTAGGGCTATGTCAGGTCACTTTGCCTGGCAATGGGCAACGCATGTTTGCATACAAACCCTTTTGAAGAGTGGGTGGACCGGCGCGTTGATGCCAACAGCACAGATATCTTCACAGCATCATATCATCAACGGTTTAATCACTTGACCGAGTTTAGCGTTCAACCTGTCCAGGTTGCTTGCCGGCCAGGTCCTACCTCGCAACGGGCCATTGGCGCTTGGACGCTGGCAGGGGCGCTGGGAATTGCTGCTGTGCAGGCTGAATGGATCTCACACAATCTAACGTTGGGCAAATTTGCTCTGCCGAAATGTCCCGTCTACTTCACGTTGAGGCACTGAAAAGCCGTGATACGTCAATATTTGCACGTTGGCTTTCTGGCTGCCAAGGAAAGATTGATAGTCCGAGCTGGATTGGATCTCCTTTTGGGCCGTCTTGGCTTGAACGTCAATGTGCAGGGGCAGGTTCATCATCCCTCCCCACAATTCGCACTGATGTTATTGGGCTTTCTTTCTTCGCACCCTGTCAGCGAGCATCAGGTCAGACGGCTTCTTTTCTTGGGGCCTTCTGCTTGCAGTAGATCAAGTCTTAACTCTAACCCCTCCCTCTCTCCCATGTAGGGTTCGTTGCTCAGCTCTACCAGCTTTTTCATTGTTTGTTGTGCGTGTGTGTGCCGGCCACAGGGCTCACTCATTGAAAACAAGGAAGCGGGGCTTCCCCAAGATTTTGGCCACAGTTTGGATTTTCCCAAGCGGTAATGTTACCCCCGGATTAATGACCCCCTGGTTGATCAATAGGGGGGTATCCCCTTTTAGTGGGGATTCATCACTTTTGGAGGGAACACCCCCCAATAATGGGACGGTTTTTTAATCCTGGGTCAACATTAAGCTGAGTCGCTGTGCACAAACCGAAGGCCCGCCGCGGCAGCCGCAGCGGCCGTGGCCGTGAGGCCCGAGTGGCCCGCGCTGTAGGCCAGGGCGGGAGCAAGCTACTCGGCAGCGACGCCTAAGTGACCCGATGGCACGGAAGTGCATGTCGAGTTGGAGTAGCATGAGTAGCTCTTGGTGGTTCAGGACAAGTGTTTTCCAACCGGCGCCAATTCGGACTTGCTCAGTGCGAGCACGATTGCGCTACCAGTGAGGCTTTAGATCGCCACCAGTTTTTCTGCAATGATGAGGGGCACTGTCAGTGCGTTGAGTCCATTAGCTGCCTTTTGCTTGTGGTGCCTCTCTTGCAACGCAAGTCAGCTGGACGGCAATTGGGCGAGGGGAGCTTGATGGTGACAGGACTTGGGGAGTAGGCTGCGATCCCCGAGCCCCCAGGCAAACTCAGTTTTTTTTTTTTTTTTTTTGGGGGGGTAGTGAGAAACGATTGAGCCCTGGGTTGTTCTGGGGAGGCTTTGAAGCTCAGACCCCTTAGCCATGCAAGCGGCAAGCTGGGGTTACCAGCCTGCAGTGACATTCGAGCCATCAGGGAGATGAGGCTTTGTCCAAGACTATTCAAATCTGTAACGGTGCTGCGTCCTTGGACTTTGTCAAGTTTGAAGCTGCTGATTGCCGCTGTCGTCCCAGGCGGATTTTGGTGATGGGCGGCACTCGCTTCATTGGCTGCTATTTGGTCGCGAAGCTGCGCGAGCTCGGGCATAAGGTTGTGACCCGGCTCGTAAGGGAGGGCATGCCTGTCGCTTCATTGTTCCCACCTGACCGGTTGGGGCTGGACTGAAACTTCAGGTTGATTTCAGGTGATACTGTGGATGGCGAAATCCTGCACCACCTGGGACCTGGGAATCCTGATTCCTTGTAAATACCAACCAACAATGGTTTCCCGTGGTTTCAAAGTGGTGCGAAATGGACTTCGTCCATCCACAGTATCACCACTCGTTTGGATGTTGGCCATGCCGCTGGCCTGCCCCTTCCCCAACAGTCCACTCTGAGTTCACAGCTCTGGGAAAAACTCCAGGGCCACCCCGAGTTCGCGCGTACACCCCCAGAGCTGGCCTGAGCATGTTCACCCAACCAGACCTACCGCGCCCAGACATGCCACAAGAGTCATCAAAATCTCTCTCCAGGCATCGCTACGCCCAGTGACTTGTGATTCTGCTGGTGTCGATGTAGCGCCGGGTTGTGTTGGGATTTTCTGGGCTATTTCAATGATGTGGTGAGGATATTATGTGTGGTGTTGTGGCTTTTGTTGGTACGACTTGCCCGGACTTGGTGCCCCCTCAGAGAGCTGAGGTGGTTTGCAACCGCGGAAAGACCAACGGTGGAAAGCCAGCAGCATGGCGGCCATATAGCGACCGAGTGGCTGACCAATTCATAGTTTCGGTTTGTTGCGTATCAGCCTGCGGCCTCGATGAAACAGACGGATGGGCTTCCCCCTACCATCGTCAGTTTTTTGCTGGGAATATATGTTTACTAGCTTGTCATCATGGGTCATGGTTCTGATATGCAAAGGGCATTTGAAACACGTTTTGGAGGGGCGCTTTGCAGCTTGCCTGCTGTAAGCTCTTCCTTTGGGCGTTTTTTTGTTTGGTTAAATTCCAAATGTTTCGTCACATGCCCAAGTCAACAGGCCGGCTGTTTTTGGCGTAAGCTGCACTGGTTGGCAGGCAGGTTCGGGCGCTCCGTAGTCCGTCACGGCCTTGTAGGAAGCCTGGCGAGTTCAGAGTCCAACGACGACGGGCGTCAGTCCCATTAGGTAAGTAACTGGCATGTTTGCCCGGCGCTGTGAGGGTTGGGGAAAGACTGCCTGAAACTCAGCCTGAAACAGGCGACCTCTCATTCCGAACCCTCTTCCACTGGTTGAGGAGCGGCTTCCCGGCGTAAGTGACGCTGAGTACGCGAAGATGTTGGAGGCGGGCCCCGTGGCGAGGTCAATGGTTCAACCAAGGTGTCCTGCAGGTGGCTTGCCTTAGTTGATGTGTGGCCTGAGTTTCCCGACTCTTCGACACCAGAAATGCAATAATAAACCAACAACTAGCACTTGGACTGGCAATGTAGGCGCGCGTCTGCAAATGCTTGTGCCGGTTTCAATTTTTAGAGATTTTTGCAATGGAGCTGCGCCTCTCGCAAATCCGAAGCCCTGAGCTCCAGTCCAGCAAGTAGGCTTACATGCCGAACAAGACCAAGCCAGCGTTTTGAACCACGGGCTTATGGAAATGGACCGCTGAAGTGAGCCTTGTGCTTCGGGCCGAGGGAGTGGACGTCCTCATTGCCGACCGGAAGAACCCGGACCAGCTGCGAACGGCGGTGTCAGCGGCATCTTTGCCTGCATCAAGCTCCAAACGATCAAAGCGTGTTTGCTGCGACGAGTTGATCGTCAACCATCGTGTGCTGCTGTAGACATTTTGTGGTGCAGGTTTTGGCGCTGCTTTTCAAGATGGGGAGCATGTCGGCCCAAATCATGTTGCTCGTAGTGCTTGTTGATTGGGGTCGCTGGAAGTTTTCGAAAGCTCGAGGCTGGACAGTTTGACATTGTCTTCGACAACAATGTGCGCACACTTGCGGACATCGAGCCCTTGGTTAGGGGCATCAAGGTGGGCAAGCCCAAGCTTGGGGGACGCAGTGCTGTAGGACGCTTCTTTCGCCTGTTTGAAGGGTGACTGGCTCCAAGAATGCAGCTTGTCCTAGACGTTTTGGTGTGCAGAAGGCCCCAACGTATGCAAGCAATTTGAACCAGGGCATGAAGCACGTGTATCAGGTGACCCGGTCTCGGGGCTGTGTAGGCGTGCCTTTTGCGGCAGGTTCCCAAGGCCAGGACCGTAACCACGGTGAGGCTCCTGTAACTCTAGGACCAGACAATACGAGATGCTAATGCACAATCGAGTGGAAAGCAAGCTGCCATGAAAGACATGAAGAAATCATTCTTGCAGCCTTGGCATTCGCAATGCAGCACCCCGGTGTACTTCCCGGAACGCCAGGCGAAGGGTGGCTGCCAGCAGTTCATAATGATGAGCAGCGCTGGGGTCTATGGTCCCACGGATGTTCTGCCGCTGAGCGAGTCGACCCCGGGGGACCCCAACTCCCGGCACAAGGACGGAAGCGCAGCCGGGTTTCGTCCCAAGCCCACCGCTCTCAGCTTTGAGGGGGGCAAAGTTTCACAGCCTTTGCGTTTGTTCCGTTAATTTCCTTCAGCTGCTGGCAACGGTAATCAATGTTTTGAACCCGGGGCCCAGGACAAGCTCGCGTGTGAGCAGTACTTGGCAGCTGAAGGCTGGAATTGTACAAATTCAACCTTGATTTTGAAGGCCTGTCAATGGTTTGAACGCACTGCAGCCACATTCTGGGGATGCATTCTCACAGCAAAATATTCATTGCTGGACTTACAATCAGTTCCCTCCAAAGCAAACCTGTGCTTTAAGCGGGCTTGGACAGTATACAGAAGTGTTGGCTGGCATGGAGAACTCCGCAAGGTCTGAATTGGACATCCATTCGCCCCGTCTACATTTACGGGCCTCTGAACTACAACCCGGTCGAGCGATACTTCTTCGACCGAGTGTCGCGGAACCGCCCAGTTTGCATCCCGTATGGGGGCAAGTACATCACCCAGCTGGGCCATTGCGAAGATCTGGCGGATTTCATGGCGAAGTGCGTTGGCAACGCTGCAGCTTGCCAGGTCCCAGCACCAAACCACCAAACGGGAGGAGGGCTCAGAGATCTCAGAGCCTCAAGACCACGGGCTGTGGTTGTTTGTTTGTTTGTTTGTTTGTGTGTTTGTTCGTTCGTTTGTGTGTTTTTTGTTTGTTCTTTTGCGTGGTTGTTTGTGTTGTTGTCTTTTGCTTGGTTTGGTTTGTTTGTTTGTTCGCTCGTTTGTCCTTACTTGCGTTTGTGTTTGTTGTTCGTGTGCGTGCGCGTGCTTGCACTACAAAGGGGCCATGACAAGTCCTTGGCCCCGATGTCGTACCAAGAGGGCGCCATGGTGCGCCTTTGTTGGCCCACAGCGTTGCGGACTCAGCCCAGTCCACCCCCAGTCCCCCCCCCCCTCTCCACCAGCTGCGCCCACACCCGGCACGCGTACGCACCTGCCTTGTTCAGCCCATGTTCAGCCCTGGCTCATGCTAAGCGCTGCAGCCAAGGCCGTTTCGGGCCAAGTCTTCAATGTGTCCAGCGAGGAGCCAGGGTGCTCCAAGCGTGAGAGTGTCAATGAGTTCAAACAGTAAGAAGGCGCATGTGGCAAGCCCATGGCCCGCTGCCGAGGTTTTGTTTCCATGCCACCGGCATGGCACAAGACTTAATTTGTGGGTCGAGAAGTGTTGGGAGGCTTGAACAGTCCTTCTCTGCATACCACATGCCCAAGACTTAACCATACCTCGAGACCTCCAGTTTGTCATACCCATGATCATGGGTTGCTGGTAGCTTGCAGTCAGTTCCTGGGCTTGCGCATTCCATGCTGGTCCGACGTCTCCGGCTTCCTTGTGGCTGCGCCAGGAGTACGTCACCTTTGACGGCATGGCCAAGGTCTGCGCTGCGGCGGCCGGCGTCGGAGAACCGAAGATCGTGCACTACGACCCCAAGTCAGTGGAGGCGGGGAACATCTTGGCATCAGCTTCCACGTGGGTGGGCCGGTTCTGTTGCCATGGCGCATGATGGGCTGGAGTTTGAATTTCCCCTCTTATGGGGGGCTGGCCCAACCCCTGTTAGGAAGATTTAGACAGCTACTTGATGGCTCACTGGGGGGGTTGTGGCGGAGTTCTTTTGTGGCAGGGTCGATATCTGCACTTTCCTCGTGATTCGGTGATGCATGCGGGGTACTGATGACTGACGGCGGAAAGAAGTCAGGGTCTGGATGTGTGAAGGCGAATTTTGCTGACACATGTCGTTGTCCATTGTTCGCTGCTTTTCCCCACTCTCCGCGCGAAAGCGCACAAAAGCGAGATGGGGCGTCGGAGTATACAGAGCCAACCTTGCCATTGAAGGATTGCTTGCAAAGACTTCCTGCATTCGCAGGCACGTTTACGGCATTGCTCATCAAGTTAAGTAGGGCAATCCGAAGCCAGCGTTGGCACAAAGATGCAAACGGCAAAATGCCAAACAACATCAACGTCAAAATGTTCGCCAGCAGTAGCTTCCTCAAAGCTAATGTTGGACCTGCTTTAATGTGATCCCCCCCCCTGAACAATGGAACCAGTCAGCGGGACCCTGTTTAGGCAAACCCTGGGGGTCTGGGTGGGACTTTCAAATTGATTTAGTATTGGTAGACTTGAGTTCCATTTGATTTAGTACTTGCTGGAGCTTCCTTTTGAGAGATCTGGAACTGAGTTTCCATTTGATTTAGTATTGCTTGGAGCTTCCTTTTTGAGATTTGGAACTGAGTGTCCATTTGATTTAGTATTGCCGGAGCTTCCTTTTGAGATTTTGGAATTGAGGTTCCATCTGATTTAGTATTGCCGGAGCTTCCTTTTGAGATTTGGAACTGAGTTTCAAATTCATTTAGTATTGGCAGAGCTTCCTTTTGAGATTTGCTCCCAAAACCAGTTGAACACTAAAGGGGACCCCGAAACAATCACACTAAAGAGGGTCAGGGTTGGTTGTGGGCAACCCCCTTTGTGTGATTGATTCACCTTGCCTTTTAGTAAAGAAGTTATCATAAATTTAATTTGATGGTTTGGGCACAACTTGCAAAATCCAGCCTCCAGCTCAACATCAGCTAAGGCTTAGTCTAGCTTGAGCCCGACCTGAGCCTTCCCAGACCAGAGAGTTGAAAACAAACAAGCCTGTACTTGTTTTGGTTTTTTTGGGGAGGGGAAAAACTTGCAACAATAGCGGACCCCTAAAACAGCCTCAGGATCCTGGATTGCAAAACTATTTTTTTCAATAGCGGCGACTTTCATTAAAGCGGGTGATCATTATAAAGCTCTCCTTGCTTCGGGGATCCGAAGGCATCAACAAGAATCTAGGTGACCTCAGGCCAACCCAGAACCTGGAGGGTGGGAAATTCGAAGGTCCGCATGTGAGGTGCCGAAGGACTTCCCGAAAGCCTTCCCCTTCCGCGGGATGCACTTCTTCGCCTCCATCGAGAAGGCCTATGAGCCACTTGCCACGTGGAGCGTGTGCGCTACATCAGCAACGCCAAGCTCCTTGTTTGAGCTAGAAATTGTTGGGCTGCCAAGTGCCAAGATTAGCTTTGTAGAGCTTCAGCAGCAGGAGGGTGATGGCTTGGAGATCCCATAGCAACAGAAAGGCCGAGGTCTTCATGTGTTTCATTGAATTTGCCTGCCCGGCAGGCGAAGCGCCAAGTCCCAAGTTGGAGGCCGAAGTACAACATGCTACTTGAATGGATTATGCAATTTGCCGATGCGTTTGGCAGCCTGTCACGTCAGTTGGAAGGATGCCACCCGACTTCAGGTTTGAAGGGCTGAAGAGCTCCTTCGTGCCTCGGCAGCTAGGCACTGGGTCCTTTGCACGGCCTTAAATGAGACCTCGTCATGTCCAGTAGCAGAGCCTGAGAAAGGAATTGCTCCTGACTCGCAATAGCGGTCTTTTGTGGAGCGCATAATCCAGTGGGCATCATGTTCATACCGGTAATGTTCAATCTTGTTTTCTTAATTGCACATTGCATTTTGATGGACATCCTAAACCATTGCAGCTAGGCCGACGGGCTGCCCTACAATGTTGGGTCTGCTTTACCTTCCCCCTCCCCCCTCCCCCCCTAAAAAACGATCGAGAGGTGCCAATAGGCAGCGGGGAGTAAATAATTCTGGGCTGATGCGCCGAAGGCAGGCTCAGATATTCGGATTGCATCTTCCAAATACCTCAAAGCAAAACAACAATCACTTGGACGTGCTGGTGGGCAGGGGTTGCATTCAGGTGACATCAGCATATACAATGAACGCATACAAAAGTGTGCCAGGACACCAAGTGATGTTGGACCTCGCTATAAATCTCCGGTTCGCTATTGTGGTTTTGTCCAGGCTCGCTTGTCGTGCAACTGAGCAAATATCCGGGCAAACACATCCGAGCAACAGATAGAACATCATTTTTGAAGCGGTCCGTAACCATCACTTCTTAAAAACATACGCCCTTATGAAAAGCCAAGACTAAACAGTCAATCAAACGGGGGTACTTTACAAGCGTCCCTGATTCTGCTTAATCTTATTGTTTCGTGGTTCGCTTTAATGTCCGGCTTGTTTGGGGGGTTGGGGAAGTTCCCAGATCAAAACCTTAGCGTGTTTGCTTCTAAAGGGTGGTTCTACCAAAGCTCTTCCCAGCTCAAATATTTAAAGGCCTCAGATCTAAAACTAAATACAGGTTGTCCCCGAACCAAATTGAAAAAACTTCCTAAGAAAAAAGAAAGGCCAAACAGTCGTGCAGAGGGGGGGTGCCCACAAGATTCTGCTTAGTTTGCTAGAATGCCCCGCTCCGTTTGCGGGGAAATTCCATGATCAAATTTCGGCCTTTTACTTTTGACGGGTTGTTCATCCTAAGCTCTTCCCAACTCAAGAAGGTCAGAGCCTAAGGGATACAAAATTATTAGTTTGCAAAATGTATTGGCACTGTGAATCGGGCAAAGCTAACTCAAGTCCCACCCAGGCCCCCCAGACTTCCAGCCGCATGCGACTCGCATATGTAGCGGATCAGGATCATACACGAGAGGAACCTTGCCATCATGGGTGCAGCATGCAATATTTGATGCGGTGACCTGTCACCCTCAATGACAAACAGCCACCTGTTGCATCAATTTGGCCTTTCTGAACCTCGGCTGAGGAATTGGATTATTTGGCCCGGGGCTTCGACAAGAAGGATCCCGACTTCCGCACGGACGACCTGATTCTTCAGAAGGCCCGCCTTTGACTGACTACCTTGGCCATGTTTTTCATTTCGACGCATGCTGCCCCAAAAGCCTCGGTGTGTGCGCGTGCAAGTTGCGGCTTCAACTGCATGCCTCAAAACTGGCATCCGAAGAACCCTGGCAAGGAGAAGTTGCACGCCTGTGCAGTTGTTCTCTCTAGTCGGGACCCACGCATGCAGTGACGCAGGCTGGTGTGTCGGCAGGGGCCTCGAGCACTTCGTCTTCAGGAAATGTTCGACATGGAATTGGATATCCGTATTCTTTCCAGAAAGACGCCTATGCAGACCTGCAGTACGGAAATGATGTGGGATACCTCCCCGACGGCACGCCCATGAATGCAGCTGGGAATGCCATCAACCACCCCGAAACTATCCAGCCCGATCCTCATTCACCTGGATCGCCTTTGCCCAGAGCCATTTTTGCCAATGATGTGGGCTACCTGCCAGATGGAACACCTCTGAACAGAGCTGGCAATGCGTCCCGGCTTGGACATGGGTAGTACCCCCCAGAGGCAGCGATCCAACTGACACTAGTCGAAGGGCACGGCTGTCCTAAGTGGCCGCGAGGGGGAACAGCTATGTGTTCATGGTCAGCTAGAGCTTAGGTGTCATGGCACTTGGTTTGGGCTTGTGGGGTGCTCTGTTTGAGGAGAAAGGACCAAACAAGCAGATTGAGAAGGGTCCGTAACTCGGTCTATGCATTGGTGACAGCTGCTTGCAGGCGATTAACCATCCGGAGACCATTGGGCCAGACCCGCACTCACCCGGCTCGCCTTTGCCTGCCTCTGCCTACGCAGCGGAAGTCGGGTACCTCGTTGATGGTACGCCGATTGCCACGGCCGGCAACAACTCCCTGCGGTGACACCGGGTCCTGATGACTGTATCTTTTCTTGTATAACATTGCGGCCACAGGCAGGCAGGATCCATGCGCATGCGTCAGGGTAAACATCTTGCATCACATTCCGCTTTTGAATATGCCCATGCCTACAGAAAGAAGCCAGTGGATGTTCCAGCTGACAACTGTGATCATTTCAAATCCCATGGTCATTCAAGCAAGGCTCATGGCTGAGAATTGTTTGGAGCTGTCAGGGTGAGTGCGGGACCGAATCGAATAAAGAGAGTATCATGATTACAATCACTACATGTCTCAATGGTCCCAGACGCGGTTCGAAGTGATTGGCATGCTTGGCAGAACTGCTTGCGCTTGCAGGTCCAAAGCACGACCGTACCTCATGACTGCCGAGTGAGTCTGACCTGTCCAGAATGCAGATTCGCCATGAGATTTTCCACGAAGGTCATGGATTTTCGGATGCAAAGCCAAATGTGTGCCAGGTTGCCGAGTCCTTGCCTGCGACTGCTCGGCCACGTGTGCTTTTACATGTTGGTTAGGAGTTTGGCTTGGGCACCCCAAGCCACAGCATAGTTCCTCGATGGCTTTGCATGTCTTGAGCTGCACGCACGCGCGCCGCAGCTTGTTTCTGGCTTGTGGCCTTTCAGGGTGGCCGTCGAATGGTTCCGCCCAGGTGTCGCAATACACCGCAGGAGAGTTGCCACAAAGTGTGGCTGTTTGCTTTGTACGCACAGGGACCTCGACAGTATGGAGGGTTGTAATGGCATTGTGCTTGCAGTGTAAGCGCGGAAATGCGATTGTTTCGCAAGGCAGCGTTTACTTTGTCACCGCACTCAAACCAAGGGGGCCAGGGAAGTGTGGAGCATGCTGAACCCACTTGCAAGAGGAAACTTCGAGCAACCACGCGACGACCGCGTTTGCTCATCTTGCAAGCTGCCGCCACAGCCACGCCCACAACAAACAGCTTCACGTAGTGCATGATCCCGCATGTCCAGAGCAACTTCCAAACAACGAAACGTCGTCGCCCGGTCCATGGGGCGACTTTGCTGCCGGCGCAGTGAGCGAGGCGCTTGGATGTGCTTTGACGCCTCAGTGTTTCAGGCAGGAGCCGGATACCAAAGTGCGAAATACGTCGGACTCCAAGGTCAATACGACTGAGAATCGCTAGTCTCGTATTGACTTGGATTTGGCCTAGTCATGCCTAGTCTAAATTCAGCAAGTATTGAGGACTTTGTGGCTTTGACAAAGGATGTTGGCTACCTTGTTTTTTTTGGTGTGTGTGTGTGTGAGAGACGACTATTCAGACGACAGAGACGACAGACAGAGAGTCTGAAGCAGATTTGAATCGGCGAAAGCTCTGGACCCTGCACATAGGCTAGCGAGGGCGTTGCATGTTGGCACCCAGCCTTTTTTCATCCAAAACCTTGGCGGTTTTTGGGGAAGATTCCGACTGCAATCCGGCGGTCCGAGGTTCGGGTACCGCGGCCAAGTGGCCCAAGGCCTCCGCGACGGGCTGGGGGAGCTGCGGCTGCCGAGCGGTGCTGCCCGGGGCCAAAAACGGGCCAAGCGAACCAAAGGGTGTTGAGGCAGTCTTGGCGTGGAATTCGGTGGGTGGACAAAGTCCTGCACCAGCTTGGATGCAGCTTCATACTGGGGTGAACCACCTGTCAACTCCAGGATTTTGTGCAGCCACAGTCTGAGGAGTTGTGTGGAACGGCTGTTGGGCATATTTTCCCTTATTTGTCCATAACATTACAGATGAGAAAGCGACCAACTCCGCTGAACTTTGAACTAGGTTTGCCTGTTGTGCTCCAGAGTGGCCTTGGGTTGAGCGAGTGGCCACTCATACCAGATGCTTCCTAGGTGTACCGCGGACAGTGGGAACTCGGGGTCTGCGCCTTGGAGAGGTGCGAAAGAGCTTGCCAAGCGCCCTTGCGCTTGGCATGTAGGTCCGGTGGCGAGTGCAAGTGACGACAGCCTTGGGACTGCAGAGTTGTTTTCGAGAAACTTGCAGAAGACTCTGGAAAATGGGTTGGGTTTTTGCAGTCGTGATGTGTCAGAGAGGTTCGAGAGCATTGCGACGAGATGTGACGAGATGGACCTGATACAAGCGCTGCCTGCTGCGTTTAAACATGGTGTTTGCTGAGATAGGCTTGCAACGGCGATGCTAAGGGCAGTTGCATGCTGTCATTTTAGACCGCGGAGGTGGAGTCTTTTCAATGCTCGAGCTTCTTGCTTGCCATGTTGCCACCTGCAGGTCAGGTCTGGCCACGGCGAATGGCTGGGGTCTCGGCCTGGCGCGGTTTGCTGATGCGCAATGCGCAGTCTCTGAGACGTTGGGGGCGTAAGTCCGGGGCTGGCAAGGTTTGTTGACATATGTTATGTTATGTTGCATTCTGCCGTCAAAGGGAAAAGGCGATGAATGAGAGTTTTGAAGCGCGCTCCAGAAGTCAACAAGTTATGGGAGTTGGTATGGGGCCATGAGCTTTGAAAGGACAAATCACTTATGCACATCATGCCCAAAAACATCAAGCCTTCACGTGCCAAGAAGGGCCTTTGCTGCCCCGAGGCAGCACCCAAAGCGGGGCAGCTACCTGGGCCAGTGGAAGCACCTTGGCGTAGCACAGGCTGGGCAGTGTGCGCACAGCTGATCGAATGTCAAAGAGAGCAGTGTTTTTTCATTGCCGGCACGTGGCAAGTTTGCTTTACTTCCCGTTGAGTTTGTGATTGTTGTCGCAAGCAGTGGCTCGTAGTGGTGCCCCTGGAATAAATTTCTCCTGAAGCCCTCCCCCACTCCGCAGGGCCTTCCACGTAGCTGTTGATGCTTCCACGTAGCTTTTGATGCCGCGGTCCCCGCTCATCTCAGGAACAACCAGATGCACGGCTGGCACCTTAGGCAAGAAGCACTCCCGCAACTGCCACTATCCTAGCAGCAACTCAGTAGCAACGGATGGATATCAAGGGCCAAGCCTCATGCAAGGTACAAGGATTGCACCTGCCAGGCCAAACCTCGTGTGCAATCGCTTGAAGTTGGTTCGGGATTTTGCCCAGAATTCTCTAGGTGCGGCGTCTCTCCTGTCTGAGGCGAGGGCCTTCTGAAGGCCAGTACGGGTTTTGCCTCGAAGCCCCCGGACCAAAAACTTGCTTGGCACACGAGGGCGTTTTTTACATCTCAAAAGCTAGAGACCGTGACAGCTACTTCCATCCTTGGGAAGGAAGTGGGTTGTGACATGTCAAGCAAGCACGCTTTTTCGCATGCTGATGTTGTCATTCCTTATGTTTGAAGGCTGAGGCTGGGGGTCATGTTGCAATCGTGCGCATGGGATTGGGGGGTATGGGCTTTATGAACTACTCAGAATTCATACAAGCGGTAGCTAGCTTGTAGCCCTCAGCGAAAACCCGCGAGAAGATCGAGTGAGGCCAACGGGGTGAAGTACCAGGGCACCTTCAGCGAGGGCCGCTTCCACGAGGAGGGCGAGCTCTGCCTCGCGGACGGCACCGTGTTTGCTCGGCGGCCCGGTGGTGGAAGGAGCCATCCAATGAAGAGCCTTGTAAGTGGTAACGGGTGGCTAGGTGTCAAAGGGAGAGCCCCAAAACTGTGGTCTTTGTGTTGGCTTCCCTTTGAGTCTGATTGAGCCAACCTGAAAAAGATACTCTTAAGAAGACAACCGCATGAACGCCATAGTAGCAACGTACCGGAAAGCACGACGTCATGAAGCATGCTGTCTCGGGTGAAGACTGAAGGCGATGATGCATCATCCATAGAGGCAATGTGTAAACACAATTCTGCCGAAACCTCAAATTGACTCAAAGGCAGACAACTTCAGCCTGGCTCATTTGAGCGATACATGGAAGCCATATGAGAGATTCCACACAGAATGCATGTAAGACACGTTAACACAAGAAAATGCTTCTTGACGTGAGCGAGCTGGCCACACGCGCGTCTCGTGAGGCGGGCAGGTGGCGGAAGGGTCTTGAGCATGGCCTGGGCCGCCTGCGGCTTCCGGAGCCTTGGAGCCAAAAGTGGGCTGGGCGTCGGTGGAACCCCCGCAAAACCAACGCCCTCCCAGCAAAAAGCGTACCCGGCGTACCCTCCCAGCCATCAACGTGGAACCGGACAGAGGGGGTCACTTTGAAAAGAAACATTGTATTCCTGTCAGGTTCCATGTTAGTTGGTGGAAGGGTAGTATTCTACTGTCAAGAACAACAAGGTGGCGCAGTTCTCAGAAACAGGTCCCGGCCATCTCGAGAGATGTCGTTGAAGCTAGGCAGATGTTCCTGTGGGTTGCCTTGAAAGAATTCTTTCTGTTTGGCCCGATGCCCATGGCACGGCTTGAAAAGGCCAAGGCTCCGGCCTCACTTGGCCAGAAAGGGTGCGGAATCTCCCAAACATCCCCCCTTCTGGGTTTGTACGGCGGGCCCCTAAGATCATGACACTTCATGACGATGGTGGCTCGAGTCCACCTGGTCTGTTTGCAGTTTTGCTCATTTGCGTGTGTGTGTGTGTGTGTGTGTTGCACGTGTATCTTAAGTTGCCAGCTGCTGGTCTCTGCCCCACAATAGGGCGTGAAGTTGATTGCCGAAGCTGATGGGGAACTTATGCTCAGATTAGTACTTGTGTCGGCCAAGGATGGAAAATGCTACGAGGACAGCCGGTGCAAACTTCTGTGTGTGTGTGTGTGAGTGGGTGTGCGGGCGCACGAGCTTGCATGCGTGCCCCTTCTCCGCACATGATGCTCGTTCGGGATTCCAGGTGCTTGTTCATCATTGCAATTGCAGTTGAACATTTATGAGCATTAAGGGTCATCTCTTCCATGGCAAGCACGGTGGATGCACGGCGGATGCACGGTGCCATCAATGATGCTGAGATCTTCATTTGCTAGAGCAGTGACCACACCTCGCCGCCGCACAGGGCCAGTGGGTGAAAGGCGAAGTGGAGGGCCAGGGCACGCTTACCTATGGTGCCAGCCGGGCGTGTTTTGGGCGTTCAGAACTGTTGGCTCTCTTGTTCTCGCGTGGGGTGCATCGCTTTCTGCTGTTGCATTGGTACGTTTGTGCGACACAGGCTTCACGGCAAGGGCATGGGTCCATGCTTTTAATTATTCTATGGGTGGTTCGCAGTAGTGCCGTTGAAGGTTCTTCGTAGCCATGAAGGGCAACTCAGCATTTTCTGACAATGTGTGGAAATGCACAAGAAATATTGTTTGCAGTTAGTTCTTTGCGCCTCAGCCTCAGTCACTGCAGGCAGCATGTTCATGCAGTTGTTTGACTTGTCCTAGCATGGCTGCACTCCCTTGCTGTGTGGTCGTTTGGGGACTTGGCAACAAATCTGTTTGGAAGGGCTTTCTTATGCCTGCATGGCTCGCCTGCAACGCCTGCAGCCTCGCCAGGATGGCCGCAAGCGCTATGTCGGCCAGTTCAGGCCTTAGGCTTTTGTCCTGAGACGGATATGGCCCGATGTTCGAGTAGCTCGCTTTTGTATGTTTTTGAACCCTTGTCCTTGGCTAAGGGTTGTGGTTGAGGTTCCGTGCGGCCAAGCCCCACGGCCACGGCTGCATGGCCTACGCTGACGGCTGCGGGCTGAGTGTGGCTTGGGGTGGGGGACCTGCAAGACGTGATTTGGCCGTTTTGGTGCTGCAGTTTCTTGAGGCAACGCGTACGAAGGACAATGGCAATATGGTTCCTGCCTTGGCGGGTCCGGGTGGTTCTGTGCGGGTACTAGGGCCCCAGAATGGTGCCAGCTGGGTACGGTCGGATCCAAATTGTGAGCTGTGCCGATCAACCTCGCCGCTTTCAAATCTCCGGGCAGAAGCAACACACCCGACAAATCAAGACCAGGCTTAAGAGTTGGCTCTGGGAAGACAGAGGGTCCCTCAAGATCAGCCAGTTCCGGAAGATTGCCTAGCCCCGCTGGAACACTGAGCGGAGTTTGAAGGAATGAGGGCACCGCGTGCCGCGTTCCGACTGAATTTGGCAAGCCAGACGGTTGTCTTGTTTGTTGGCTGAGGTGTTCCTGCCGGCAAGGGCAGGTGGACTGTAGGGGATGTACAGGCGGGCTCGGTGGTTTGGTGGCTTGGTGGCTTGTTGTGTCGTGTTTGCATTTTCAGGGCTCCAAACGCAGCAGCCCAAGAAATCTGCTTGCCTACATTTGGAGACTTCAGAGACGCTTGAAGGAGGGAACAATCTGATGTCACAGGTTTTGGGTAGTTTTGAATACTTTCCGTGGCAGTGTGTGCGCCCATGTCACCCTTGACATGATCAATCAGCATAAGAAACAAAGACGCAGAAGGTTCGGTCCCACGGTCCGTTGGCGCGGAAGATATTCATTGCTCGGGGGTCCGTGTGAATGGCCCGATCCTTTCATAGCATAGGCTGCTATCCGTTTTGGTCATAACTCCCCCGAAGTGCGATTAAGCCTGTTCTTCGGGGATTAAAAATGCAACGATTGGCGAACCACTTACTAACTGGCCGAACAGCCAAGTAGTTCGTGCCGGGAAAATGCGACCCCCCTCCGCAGTCAGGCAGCTTTTACGCCTGTCAGCTCAGTGCGGCCATCGCCGCGGCAGCGCGCGGCGGCGCCGGGTGCAGGCGTCAGACGCGGCATCCACTGCGATGCTTGTGGAAAGGTTGTTGCCAAGGAAACCGGGGATGGGACTTGTGAATTTCGAGAGCTCCAATTTGACACCTAGCAACATCAGCACAATGCTGGAAATTGTGGAACAGGAGGGTTCCCGGGAGCATGCTTTTCAAACATGTGCACACCCAAGGAGGATGGAGGATCCCTGTTTTTGGCTGTTGTTGGAGCTGAGGCGCAACCAAACAATGCCTGCCCCAGCTCGAAGGGCTGGAGGTGACTCTCAGCTAGAGTTCGATCGCCAGGTTTTACCGAGAGCTCGTCAGAACTGGGGTCCGTCGACACCCAGGCGGGACTCCAGTGAGCAATTCATGCGCTGGCGGGGAAGCAGGCAAGTTGGGAGTAGCATGCAAAAGCAAGACCTTTGAACACGCTGGGAACAAAGAGCATGCTATATTCTATTTCTAATGATGGGGTGATTGAAGATAGTTCCAGATACGTTCTTCGATGCTGTCGTTTTTGTACGGTTGGTGCCAGGAGTTCCTGAAGTTTTACCTAACGGCATCCAACACAAAGTGATCTTCAGTGCTTGGGTCGGCGGATTTGCACGTTTGGTTTCCAGCTGTGAAGCTTTTTCTGGAGTCTTGGGTGTGCCAGATCCAGGTAATTCATATGACCCCAACACTCTCATTTGCGTTTTGATGGCTGCTGTTTCCCTCAAGCAGGGGGGCAGCACCGGCAATTCAGGAGATCAATTTTGAGGAGCTCCAGGGTGCTGGGCTCAGGGGGTTCGGAAGGAGTGTTCTTGCGAACTGTGCCTCAGGATCAAGAAGGTAGTTGAAGCTTTGTAGTCCGCGCACATTGATTGGATTGTCCCCTGCGCACCTTCACTGCCAAGTTTGTTCTCCATTTCTTCCAGGAGAAGATGCGGATGAATCTACGCAGGGGGCGCCCAGAATCGGACGAGGCCAGCTATTCTAGGTTGGCCGTCCACAAGTTCGGTCACCAATCCTCGCGAGGGGAGGAGTCCCATCCATCTGCTGGTTGATTATGGGGGAAGTGGCGCGATGGGGATTTCTTGGGCGGGCGGCTTCCTGTTCATGAAACATGTGGGTTCATGTTGACTGTATCCCTTGCATGCTCAGAGGTGGGAGACCTTGACCAGCCACGCTATTTCCTTTGCTATCAAACCCACATCCAGATCGAAGCAAGCATTGACATCTAAAATCCCGCCAGTAGTATGTCAGAACCTGGCGATTGTTCACCTCAGCTACGTAGAGTCCAATTTGGCTCGGCCGCCGACAGATCAAGTTGCAGTATTGCTGCTCATCCGAGCCATTCTCAGTCTTTTTTTATCACCATGCATCGGACACCTAGTGGTCTTGAGTCCACGGCGCAAACCGAGAGAAGAGAAGCACACCTAGCACACACAGCAAGCAATCAATCAATCCAAACCAAAACGACTCACCATCGTGAATCGTGAATCATAGAACCAAGGCATGCCCCGGCGTCAGCTTCACATTAATCAAATCATGCCCCTACCCAAAGCCATCCAAAGGCCCAGCACAGATTCGAATGGAAGAAGTGTATAGGCTATAGGTCACCGTCTTCCCCATGGATGCTTAGTAAGCCACACTGGCATGTGGAAGCCGCGAGCTAATGCTCAGCTCGTAAAGCACCTCCGCATCAACCAGGACTGCCCTTAGTAGGTTCGCAATGCTTTCTGCAGGCAGAGGGGGCCACCGGTTTAAGCTATACATAGCCCATAGGTGTCACTTTTGAGGGTTGGCGCACTAGTATCAGGATTGGGGTTGCTTGTCAAGCCGGCTGCTGACCCTAAGCTGTGCAAATACGCTGTTCGTTGCCATTCTCCTCAGCAGTGCAGTTAAGCAAAACGCCTGGCACTCGTTATTTTTTGTTTGTACGAAGAGCGGATTGGTGTGCATGCCTGAAACGCCGTCATTTAGGGTGATCCGCTTGAGCTCGACCAGGTGAGGCAATCAGATTATAGGCTTGTAGGACGGTTGCACGCGGGAAGGAACTGTCATCTCTGCTCTGCGAAGGAGCTTGGGGCAGCCCCAAGTGTCTTGAAGATCCTGGAGGTCTGTGAAGAACACCTGGAGGCCATGCAGCTGAAGGAAGTATCCTGTTCCATATCGACCTAAGGAACTAATCTCTCCACTCCCCTAAAAAGATAACTTCTCCTGACACCGGAACAATATGTATTTTAGAATTCTTACAGGTACATCAAGTTACCCCCGGATGGGGGGTCACGGCAGTCCTTGGCTTAGTATACTATCGAAGCCAAATTTAGCACCGGAGAGATTTCAGGGTGGGGGTGGGTGGGAGAAATCATATGCAAGTGTTGAAGCTTTTCAGTGCCAGAGGCAGGACCCTGGCATACCCTGGCTGCGACAAGCCTGTACTCTTTTTTGCCAGGATTTGGATGCCGTAAACGTGTCCACAGCGCTGCACCGCATCGCCAAGAAAAGCGACAGCGAGGTGAAGGACCTGGACACACAAACAGGCTGAAGCCTCTGGCAGCTACCAGGGGCAGACCGCAACCCGGAGCCCTAGTGTGAAAGCCAAAGAAACTATTTCCTGCATTGAACGTTGCTGAAGTAGGAAATGCGTGCCCGGCATGGTGGAAATTGGTAAGGGTGCGGCGGTCATGAAACTTGCGAGGAGGAACACATCACGTCCTTGTATCGTTAAGTAAAGGCACGCCCAATGTTCTGAAACAGAGAGAGCTCCAATATATTGGCTGCTTTCGAGAAGCAGCCGCGCCCCAACTGCTGAACCAACGAGAGAGAGAGAAAAAAAGAGAACTCAAGCATGCTCCAATAAGGAGGGACAACGCAACGATAGGGGCCTGACCGATCACACAATAGAAAACTAAACGATGACCACATGATCAGCCTGACTACGGGTCAACAGAAAGGCTACGCAAGGACTTTGGAAGCTGCAAGGCTATGTAAAGACCACGGGGGCATCACCCTTTATGTTGCTTGTTGTACAGGATCCCTTGAAAGATACAAAGGAACACAAAGGATACATCTATTTTGGGCCGGTTACAAAATTACTCACCCACCAGCTGAAACTAGAGGAGCCCCTACAACTTCTTGGTATGCATCGGGAGACCTGTTCCAGGACCCCCGCTTCGGTGCCCTGCTGCGGCGTTTGCCGCTTTTGCCTTCGGGGGGGCCGCAGTGCCTTGCCAGCGCCGCGCGGGCATCGGCAAAGACCAAGGCGCGTGAGGAGCCGCCCATGGCAGCGACGCTTGCCCTGAAGCCCTCAGAGTCGTCTCAGGAGTCGTCAGGTTTCTCGTGTTTTAGACCATGAAATCCTCGTCTCATTCTGGAAAAACATGTCCTTTTTTGGCGTGATAGTGTTGAACAGGGACCGGTAATTTAAGGAGCCTGTCCCCTTCCTCGCTTCCACTCACGCACATGGAACATGGTAGCCAGGTCCCGCGTTGCCAGTGTTGGACGAGAGTCTTGCCGGAGCGCAACAACTTGTCAAGCACTTGAACTAGTTTGCTTTCCTGAGCAGGTTTGGCTGGCAAAGTCCCTTAGTGCTTGATGCCTATCTCCCTTATTACCTTCAAACAATATTGAGGTAACGGCCCAACGAGTCAGACGGCCAGGTTGACTGAGCCTGCATAATAGGGCTAGCATGGGCTAGACCTGCACATGTGGCCCAAAGTGGTCCTGAGAATGGAAAATCACGGGGTCGCCTTGCGCAGCACAGACACCCCCAAAGTTGAAACAGCCAACCATCCAGTGCTTCCTTTTGGCCAACCCATTTGCTCGCCCTCCTCAACTTCATACCTTTTGGACACGCCATGTAAAACCGGCAAAGACAAATACGTGTCAGGCCAAGCCATTCAGGAATCGCCTGGGCGCTCCCAAGGCCGGCCCAATGAAACGACTTGTCAGGGGCCGGTTGGGTCCCAGGCTTTAGCTCTCCACGCTGCAGAAGCCCCGGGACGCCGCCAGCACGGCTTGGGCCTCCGCGCGCCTGGCGGCGCACCGCGAGCCGCCGCGGGAGCTGCTGCAAAGCGTCCGGCTGGAGAGGCGCGAGGGGAAGGTGGGTAGGTCCGAGGTCCTGGTAGGTGGGGTAGGGGTGGCTGGCTGCGCTGAGTTGAACTGGCGCGGGGTGATGGTGCGGCATGCGCGAGCCAATTCAGTTTCCCGATGCCCACCATGTGCTATGGAGGGAGGCAAAATCTCCCGTGTGATGCGCGGTCTCTCCGGCACGCGTTGTAGGATACAGATTGAAATCATTATTGAGAATGTGAAGCAGGATTCAACGTGTCCTGATCAATGGTGAAGCCAATGTTCAGCAAGGATCAGCAAGGACCGTTGGCATTGTTGGCATTCTCCGGCCAGATATGCCCTGATGACCAACGCGTATCAACCCGGATGCCGCCAGGTTGCCTTTCAGGCAAGTGGAAGGAGGGCAGCACATCTGACTATCAAGTAAGCGCAATCAAACCTGAAAGGAAAGCTACTGGCAGCTGCTTCACACCGCCAGTAGATGGCAGGTTTAGCTCCATTGACCTGGCCAGCCTGGCCTGGTCTCCGGCAGCCTTGACGCGGCATGGGGGGCCAACCCTGGCGGCCACAGCGGCAGAGGCGCGGGAACTCGGCGATCCTTGGAGCCACGGAACCCAGAAAATTTGGCCAGAAACTCGACTCACCAGACGAGTTGCGTTGGCATGTTTGTTTGTTTGAACCAAGTCCCGCGGCTTTTCTTTTTGCATTTGGACACCTCCCCCTCAAATCCCTGGCACCTTTGGACCCGATACTTGGGTAGCGAAATCAAGCAGCCACACCTTTTTGTTTCACGGACAGCTCCCGTTTGTTGCGTGCGCGCTGTTACCACCAAAGGCTGCATTTGGAACATGATGTCCAGATTGGCAAGTTGTGGGCCTTACTGGGTGGGCAACCCTCAATCTTTCAACCTTTCAACATCTTTCAACCCTCCGCACCAATGGCCACGCATTGTCTCATCCATATCACTATTCAGCACCTTTGGCCTTCCTTTGGTCGCCTTCCTTTGGTCGCCTGCCTTTCTGTGTCCTTGGGCCTTCCTTTGGTCTCGCGCGTCGCTTAGGTCTGCGCTGCGCCCCGAGCCTCCTCCGCGCAAGCGCCGTCCAACGTCGCGCGGGGCCTCGCCACGGCGCAGCGGGCGGGCGCGCGGCTGGCGGCGGCGGCCGGGGCGCAGGGCGCGGTGCGGGCAGCGGAGCTTCGGGCGCAGGAGCACAGCGACGTCGATGGGTTGCGGTGATTTGGCCGTGGGTCAACACCAATGGTATCCCATTGGTATCCCATTTTGGTTGGTAGGCGCACCAACCTTTTTAGTTTTTTTTAGTGGGGTTTTGACCCATAGCCATCTGGGCTTGTCTCAAAGGGAAAGCATCGAACGATGGATGGGCTCCCATCCGAAAAGGGTACCCTCACATTAGCATGGAAACTGACAGGGGGGTCCTGGAAGACAATTTTCCTTTCAAGGGAAGCCAGGTTTCATGTTGATTGGTAGGAGGGTACTTACTGTCAAGCAGAGACGCCCTTTTGGATTGTGTTTGGCGATGTTTGGCGATGTTTGGCGCTTGGTTTGCGGACAATTTTGCAGCCCGTCGTGCTTGGCCGCCGGGGGTTGGATTGCTCGAAAGCATGGTCAGTGGCTGGCATAACTACCTGCAGGCAACCAAGATTGCGGCTCTTCATTTTGAATCCCGCTATGGTGGTGTGGTCGCATTTTCATTCATATGACTGCGACATTCCGTGTGGAATTCCTTCATTTTTGTGTGTTGCCCTGAGTGCTCGATCGCTGCATGCCAAGAAGTTCATAATATGCATGAACGCTGTGAGACTACGCCGTCGCCCGCTTTTGCAAGCTCCGCTCGTTCAACTGTCCGGCCTGCCGCAGGACTCGGCCAACAGCGCACGAAGCTTTGCAGCGCTGGCGGCCTTGCACGTGGCGCTGATGGAAGCCGCCGGGAACTCTGCGCTGGGAGGCTAGGCTTTGACCGTCTCCAACGGTTTCAAGCGAGGTCAGACGGTCAGACTGGTTGCTTTGCATATGGAAGGCTGGGCCATGGAAACCGGCCGGGAACAGGCATCCTCATTTGGATTTGGTCAGCTGGCCAAGCGTCAGCTGGAGGGTGACATCTTGAGAGCCAAGGACAGCTGGAGGAGTTTGCGCCGCAGGGCACCTCCAACGTGGTGCGGGGCCGGGCCACAACGGCTTCTTTGCGTCGGCCCTTCCTGGGCGCCGCCGGCGGCAGGCGCGAAGGGGCCGCGCGTGTCGCGCGGAGGGGGGGGGCGGGGGGGGCAAATCCCTGCAACTCTCGCTACTAGGCAGCTGAAAAGGTTTCAATTGTACATTCCCCAGACACATTGAGGGAGAGGCTACCATCAGAGAATTCCTTCCAAACAGCCTTTGGCCTTTGGCTGGAGCGGCTCGCAAAAGTTCCGAAAAAGGAGTTTGCAGCGTCAGCGTCACTGAAGGCGGGTTCCCAATGCGACGTGCTAGTGACACTTTTCCGGATGACGGAAGCGAACAGTTACGCTGCTTCCAGAAGCCTAGGACATGTTGTCCCAATGAATTTTGAGCAAATGCAGGCCGGGGTTCTCGCTTCCTCAAGCCTTGGGGTACTTTTCCGTTGTGCAACTCGCCGCGCTGAGAGCTGGGGGGAATCGTCAGTCCGGCAGGACAGCGCTGGCGCAATGGAAGTGCCAAGAGCTCTCCAACGCTGCATGGGCCTTTGCCACCCTACTGGCGTATGGCACGCCTTTGGTGGCAGCGATTGCCGATTCTGCCATGGGGCAGCTGGAAAAGCCTAGTGCGCGGCACAGCTGGGGCCCCCAGCTGAGTGCTTACGTTCGCGGTATACATATGGAAAAACTTAGATGTCGGCATCCTGTTGTGGAAGATTTGAGTGTGCTTTAATTTTTGCACAATGTACAGTCCGTAGTGAACCCCGCGCAACATTGCAGGAAGCTCACGTTTTGCTCTTGACCTGCGTGGCAAAAAAAAGCAAAAAAACATTGGAAGCACAGTGGTTTTATGGCACAACAACAATGAGTGGTTTCCAGACATAGGCCTCAAAACCGCATAGACAGGTTCGCTTCGAAGCTCGACGGAAGGGGCGGCCGCCTTTTGGAGGAAAGTGCGTAAGCACTCGTAGACCAGGCGGCCGTCCCAACAACACCAGGCCTAAACGGGAAAGCAAGAATCTCAGAAGCAGGGCGGACGAGCAAGCTTGAATGGAAAGCAAACCTCCACTCATGTGTCCACAAAGTTAAAGTTGCAGGTGTTTGGAGGATTTTGGATTCTTGCTGATTTTGAGTGAACGCCCACATTTTGCACAGTATTCAAAGAAAATGGCACAAAAACGGGATACTCCAGTGGATTTCACCAAAAGGGGTGATGGAAAGGAGGGCGCCACGGCTCAGGCGCCAACCTCGCGTGGGCCTTGGCCACCCTGGAGCTGCGGCGGGAGCCGCCGCTGGCGGCGGCTGGACACGCCGCAGCCACCGCGGAGTTGTCGCCGCTGAGCCTCGCCAGCACCGCCTGGGCGCGCGTCTGCTTCGGGATGGCCGGCACGGCTCCTTCGAGGCGCGGAGGGGCGCGAAGCTCTGGGCGAAAGCGAGTTGGGCGCCGAAAGCGGGGAGATTTGGTCTGAAAGTCCTTGGACTTTTAACATTGTGTTCAATGTTGGTGGCTGTGAGCAGGACTTTCGGGCATCGTGCTGTTGCTTCAGCCAAGGTTCCTTATGTGGTAGGAGCTACTTCAAAGCCTTACGAGCCTTATGAGTTTCATGCACATCTCACGTGTTATCTGTAGTCTCAGGTTGACGGCCCGGCGCCTCTTCGCCAGTCCGGTGGACGAAGGCGTGGCCACCATGGCGGTTTGGACTTTGTCGCGGCTTGAGGACCTCACCTTGGCGTTTCAGCTGGTAGACTCAGCGACTTGGCGCATCACGCCCCTCACTCTCTCGCCGCTCCTCGAGGCGGGCACGGGCCGGCGGGAGCGGGGGGATGTGGCAGCCGATGAACATGAGGATTGCGGACAGGGCGAAAAAGCTTTTTTGTGGCTGCAAAGGAAGGCATGTCCACCCAGAGACTCTTCAAGTTTAAATGTTGGACCAGACTGGCAAGTTCTTTGCACAGCATGGCCTATGGATGGCCTATGTCCTGGCACTCGCCAGGCCTGTGAGCAAAGGAACCTGCCAGAGCTGGAGCTGAGGGTTTTGCGCTTGCTGGCGCATGGTGAGCTGAAGCCAGTGGTTGAGGAGGCAATTCGCCTGCGCATGGTGCAAATGCGATGCACAGAGGAAGAGAAAAACGGGTCCTGTCGCTTCGCCTGACGAATCGCTTTTGGATGTCCACAGCCTCCAGCTGAGCCAGTTGTTGGATGAGCGCGTTGATATGAAATGCACTCGACCCAAGGCAGCCTCAAAATCACTGACTGAGGAGGCCATAGAAGAATGCGGAACTTGCTGACTGACTGGCAATCTTGCATACCACATGCAAAATGTACCCCTAAACGCAGGCGATGCCGGGCAGAACCGAGACTTAGAATTGCTTGCATGATCCTAAGGGTGCTAAATGACTTGACTTGCCAACAAAGACAGTACCTTAGTCGTGGGATTACAGTTGGTTTGGTAATTGCAATGTGATTGTGTTGCTTGCGCATGTTCGCGTGCGTCAGAAGAATCACCCAACCAATATCACATCCGGTACCTTTTTCTTTTCTTTTTTCTCTCGTGGCACTCGTGAGGTCTGTGGTGCCTCCTGTGGCCTGGTCGCAGACCGCTCTCGACTGGAATGGGGCGCGCGTTGAACAAAATTGCATGACTCGAAGGAAACCCAGATTTGAGTCCACTGGGTGTATTTCAGCCAAATTCATTTCCAACTTCGACAGGTATGCGTTTCAGCCCTTTTTGGTTTGGAATAGCTTGATGTGCCCGGTTGTTTGCATGGCTGCATTCAATTGCTGCATTCTGTCAGTTTCTGTCGGCAAGCGCGACAGCGATAGCCACACACAGCACACATAGGCCACACATAGTTCAGTCAGTTGGCTGCCGTACACTTCCTTTGTCCACTTCGTGCTGATTCTGCTGATGAAGAGGTGGTGATTACACCAGGTGTTTGCCGATGTTGTGAGGATCCCACGGCAGATTCCTCAAATGGCCCGGGCGAACCGGGTAGTGAGGGCTTGTATGTAATGCAGTTGGGAAGGCCAGCCACCAACACAGCGGACAGCCCGAGGGTGAACTGGCTGCTGCAATCTCTCAGGCTCTTCGGCTTGTTGCACGATTTGAAATATCATTTGTTCCGGATAAGTTGGCCCGGGCAGCGACACCAAGCTCCAGTTCACAATCCTTTCGTCGCTCCATTTGCATTCTGCTTTTACAATTTGATGCCACTTGCCTGCAGAGCAAGAAAGCAAGAAGTGGCGATGTGGTTAGAACTCAGCTTTATGGTGGAACATGGGCTGAGGTTGGACAAGCTTCTCGCAAGCATCTAGGCATCGTGGGCCCCGGTGCTGAGGTGAGTATCGGCCAGCCGAGGGATGCCAAAGAGAAGCATGTCCTGCGCACCAAAAACACGGCATCGGGGCATTGGATGTAATGAGCTGCGCCACAAGCAACTCGCTTGGTCATTTTGTTTGCAAAAAGGAGCCAATCCTTTGGAAGGTCAGAAGGTGGGTGTTTTGCCTTGCATCGCACGTTTGTTTGCATCAGCCCTTGTACGGTGGTTGACCTTTGGCCATACAGTCATACGGCGGCAGGTCGATGCGATGCCCAGGAACGTGCTCGTAATGCACAGTCCGTGTTCGCGTTGTGATTCCTAGGATAGTACAAAGCGAAACGGCAGGGCCAACGACAATATGTTTGTTGCAATGTGTGATAGTGTTTGTGTGCATGCGTGTGTGCATGCATTTCCGCTTGGTATACAAGTGTTTTGTGCAACGGGCAGCTGTTTTTTTTGTTTCACGATCTGGCAGTCTCAGTTTTGTGAAGGGCCGAACCAGATGTGTTTTGCATGGCATTGGTTGTTTTGGAAGGGATTTCCAAGAAAGTAGCAGCCGTCGTGGGCGGCCCGTCTTGAAGTGAACCGCTTTGCTCATAGGGTCCCGCGACGACTTGATTGAGAGCCACGGGGACGGAAGTTGTTCATAGATTTCTGGGGGTGCTCCATTGAGGCCAGCCCCATTGTGCTCGGTGGATCGCCCGCATGTCGCGTGTTCTTCTTCGAATTCAAATTTTCAAATTTGTTTTGGCTTGCACTTGAACAACTTTTGACCAGACATCATTTTCACGGAATGCTCGCCGCGCGTTGCCCTGCGTCTTGTTTGGCTGAGTTCTTGAGAGCCGGATGGCTTTGGCTGCACCTTCTCCAGGATGCCAAGGTGTTTGCCCATGTTGGATGGCCACAACCAAGCCAAGTCCACAAAACAGTGCAAAGGGCGTTTGGACAGGAATCCGAGCTAGACAACAAAGGTGACACCCTAGTCCAGTTTTGCAGTAGGATCAGCAAAGGCAACACACATTGAGGCAATTGGCATGTCCATGCTGGCAGGCACAATCGCAAGAGCAGGTGGTGAGTCCAAACTCGCGCATTCCATCGAACTTGCAAGCAAAGAAGCGGCATCCAAGCAACATGTGACCTGTTTGGCGCGCACTTTTCTTTAAGGATCTTCAAGGCACATGCACAGCTTCGCCATGGCTGCTTGAGATTTTGCACATTGGCAGGCACATCGGAAGTCGGATCAGACTCGCCAGTTTAGGGCAGCCTCTGCGGACAAGCAAACCCTCAATCTGGAACTTCAGCATTGTCTTAAGCTCACCTGCAGTTCGCTGATTTTGGAACAAGTTGTTTGCTCAAATGTGAAATGAAATGCACTGTGCAGCTGAGGTTTGGTGGTTGAGGTCGTTCTTTGAGCTTGTTTGTGGCCGGTGCCGTGAGGGCCATGCCTTTGTGTTTTGCACAAAGGCATTGTCCAGTCAATGCTGGAATCGGCTGACAAGTCGGATGTGTAGATGGAGACCAGGGCCCAAATGGAGTGTGCTGAAGAGTTGCAAGCAAGAAAGATCCATTGGCCATACAGGTTCACTAGTGCAAGCGCCCAATCTTCGCTGCCAGGCATGGTGTCCAATGGCCCTGAAGTTGTGTGGGAGGCGTGGAATGACATGTGCGCGGATAGGTAATGCTGCAAACATTGGGCGTCTAACCTGTGCCTTTTGCCCGTATGTTCTTGCTTGATGGATTTCTTGTTCTACTGTTCGTCAAACAAGGTTTGCTTGATGGTTGATAGTGGAATGTTCTAAGGCTTTGAAGTCGGACGGTCTTTGGAAGCCATTGGAAGCCATGGTCGTCAAAACAGGATCCGCTGCGAGAAGTGTGGGAGGGGGTCCTTCCTGCTGCAGCCTGCATCGGACTGCAAGTAGAGCTAGGTGGTGCATACCAGCTGCCCGGTGCGATCAGAGCCTCACTTTGATGCGCGGGTGTGGGGCTCAGCTCGCCAGTTTGCGTCGCTCAACTCTTGGCATAAATTTGGTGAACATCGTTTTGAGGATGCGACGGTTGCTGATCACTACCCTAGATTACTAAGCCCCCCCCCCCCTTGTACCCCCCCCCCTTTTCATTTAAGTGTAAAATGCTTATCTGCCTAGGGTGCCTGGGAGAGGTCCTTGGGGGAATGCACTTCCAGCCCCGCACGCTAGCAACACTCCTTGGGAGAGGCGCTTGAATCACGCGCATTGCATTTGCAAGCGAAGCGTTTCGATCAGTAAAGGCTAATTGCGACAACATACGAGACAGGCTAGCCTGAAACTCGTTCCTTTGCTAAATGACTCGGGAAAATTGCTCCCCTAAAGCTCGTCTCTTTGCTATTCTCTTTGCCAAATGCCCCCCTACGACTCAAGCCCTCGCCAGTTTTCCTGGGTTTGTCCGAAAATCCGCAGAAAACAGCCTCGGGAAGCCAAAACACTGAAAAAACTCGAGTTTTACGGACCCCCCCCCCTTTCAAATAGGGTACTAATAGCGTACTAATAGCAGCCTATTAGTCAGCTATTAGGGCCCGAATAGACTTACAGACCCCCCCCCCCCGGTTTCAAATAGCTGCTAATAGCAGTGACTAGCTACCTAGACCCCGCGAGCAATGCATTTCAGCCAGACTCCGCCAGACTCGGACGCTTTGATACCTTTTCTCCCACTCGGCATTCTTGCCGCCCAGTTTGAACAGCTGATTGAACCACTCAGACTGTGCCCAGTGGACTTGTACATTGCTGAAATCTTCGGGGATCAATATTGTGATATGACCCAAAACTTGGAGGCTATCCGACGATTTCAGTACCAGCCATCGCGGCATTGCAACAACCTGCCGCCTGTAAAGACTTCAAGCGTTTGAAGCAGCGTGACAACCCGGCACAATCCTGCAGGAAAATATGGCTGCTAATAGCTACCTAATAGCAGCTATTTGTACGCGAAAGCCGGGAAACTATTAGCAGCTATTAGGAAGCTATTAGTAAGCCATTAGCGCACAGACCTGCAAAGACCTCTTAGATGAAATGGGGAGGGGGTATAAGGGGGGAGGGGTTTTGTAATCTATGGCACTAGCCTTGTGCAAGAAGGACAAGGTGTGTGCAGCTGTTTTTTTTCTTCTTCTTCAGTTGCCGCATGTCTGTGGCCAGCGTTCACCCTTCAGAGTGTCCCAGGGCGGTTACCAACCAAGCAAACTTCCACTTGATTCGGATCAGGCAAGCGTATGTCCAGCGTGCGCAGCCCCAATAATTTCCAAACAAAGCTGGTTCTTGATTTGGGTTTGTCTTTTTTTTTTGTTGTTGTGTTGAGTTGCTTCAAAAGGCAGAAGGTGGGACCTCCCCGAATCATACCCCCGAATCACACCCCCGAACCATACCCCGAAACATACCCCCGAATCATACCCCTTAAAACGTATGCTGCAAGATGCTACTTTTCTTCTACCGTTTGTGTGTTTACTGCCTCCACAACAACCACCACCAGCGCTACCCAATACTACAACTTCCACTACCACTACTACTGCCACTACTACTACTACTACTACTACTACTACTACTACTACTACTACTACTACTACTACTACTACTACTCCAATTTCTACTACAACTGCGACTACCACTGCTACTACTATTGCTACTACTATTGCTACTGCTACTACCGCGACTACGAGTATTACTACCACTACCAACGCTACTACCCTTATTACTACTACTACTACTACTACTACTACTACTACTACTACGACTACTCGACTCCTACGACTACTACGTTTACTAATACTAATACTACTACTACCACTACTACTACTGCTACTGCTGCTGCTGCTTCTACTACTCACTACTACTACATTCATCATTCTGAGTTTGTAATCAGTGCCGTTTTGCACCTAGCCGCATCATACCCGCGAATGAGACCCGAATCATACCCGGACAATGAGCTTCCCTTGCCCAGGCCAGTGCCAAGTCTTTTACAAAGCTTTGGCACAACTTCTGCCGCCGCGGCTTCTGCTACAGCTGCTACCACTACTTCTGCAACTGCTACTGCTACTACTACCACTACTACTACTAGTACTACTACTACTACTACTACTACTACCACTACTATTACTACTACTACTACTACTACTACGACTACTACTACTACTACTACTACTACCACAGCTACTACTACATTCATCATTCTGAGTTTGTGATCAGCGCCGTTTTGCACCTAGGCGAATCATACTTGCGAATCATAGCCGAATCATACCCGCGCAATGGACTTCCCTTGCCAAGGCCAGCGCCAAGTCTTTTCAAAGCTTCCGCGCCACTACATTTTACTGTTACTACTACTACTACGACTACTACTACTACTGCTACTACTACTGCTACTACTAGCTACACCTCCTACTGCTACTAGCTACTACCTACTACTACTACTACTACTACTGCTGCTGCTGCTGCTGCTGCTGCTGCTGCTTCCGCGAATCATACCCCCGAATCATACCCGCGAATCATACCCGCGAATCATACCTGCGAATCATACCCCGTACTCAAACCTTCCTGCCCCGGCCCCATAAAAAATACAAACCCATTTAGAGCTTGCTGGCATGTTATGCGTCACTGACATGCAGTAAACTTGATGACCGGCCCAACATGGCCTGAATCACACGAGCGGCGCAGGAAGTCATTACAATATTCTGTGTCACTATCTTCGTCCAATATGCGATGCCTCCAGCCACTCTCAGATTCAAGTTGTTTACAAGGGACGTCTCAATACTTGGTTTGGCGGTTTCATGCAAGTTTCCTCGGGGGTAGGGCATTGGCACATGGTCCTGCACCATGTCCCACTTTAGGTCTTGAGCTGGAAGCGGAGAGGCGCGGCAAGCCACATGAGTAGCTGACTGGGGGCTCACATTTGTGTTTTTCCTTGGGGATGTGAAGAAAATTGAGCCTGGTCATCAGACCTAGTGTGAGGGACTGACTGGCCATGATCGAGAGGAATATTGAATCAGGCAAGTATTTGTATGCATTTGTCTGCGAATCTCTAAGTTTCCTTGCATTCTTTGTGAGTCTCTGTGTTCTTTGTGTTTCCTTGCGCTGTTTGGTGTTTGTGTGTGTGTGCGTGTTGTATGCGTTTCCGTGTGCGTTTCCGTTTGCCTATCCGTGTCTCTGCATTTGCGTGTGGTGCTCTGCGTCATTCTGCATGCCTCTGTGGTTGTGTGTTTGTGCCTCTCTGTGTATCTCTGTGTCTCCTTGTGCCTCTTTGTGTCTTTCGTTGTGCGTGCTTGAGTGCGAAGCTGGCTGGCTGGCTGGCTGGCTTGCCGGGAGGGTCAGTGGAAATTTGTGTGTGTGTGCGTGCGCGAGTGCATTTGCGCGCCCAACAACTCTTTGCATGCTTGCCCGGCCAGGGTTCATGATCCGTCCAACTTGCACTCATTTTTGGAACCGCTGAAAGGTGGGCTTCCTCATCCCTGCAGCCCCTGCAGGCTTGTGAAAAAGTCAAGCTCAGCCTTTCGGTGCAGGCCAGCAGGTTATCAGCAGCGAGATGACCACTGACGGCTGGCTGAAGATTTCAGACGGCCGCGGCTGGCGCCTTGAGCTGCAATCTTGGGAGGTTGGAAGTTGGAAGAGCCTCCGGACCACGGTTTTCGCCCACCCACCCCCCATTTTCAATGGTTTTGTAGGTTGTCGTTTAGGCAGAGCTTTGTCAGTGACCACTCGGACTGAGGGAACCTTCTCAGCCAGGGTTCCATCGAAACCTTTGGTCTCCACTCCAACTTGCTACGCTGAAACTTTGGGCGATTGCCTTAGGATGCTCTCAGACCTGCAGATGAAGGGCATTGGCGCGCTGCTGCAGCCCCGGCGCGGCCAGGCGAGAGCAAACGCCCGAGCCGTATTTTCCCGGTGTAGATGGTTTATTTGGGGATCTGTGGTTGCCGCCGTGCTTTTGCATTGTTTTCTGAGGCAAGGCCTTTGTTGTGAAAATGGTTGATGTGCGCTGTTTGTTGGATCTTTGAGGGATCAGATTTGATTCTGCTGCGGTTTGCTGTTTCTCTGTCCTCGTCACGGGCCCACAGACGGGCATGCGGCAACTTTGCCTCGAGCCATTGCTCCCAGCCCTCGTTTTCGTCCTCAGTGGAGCGTGGCTTGTTTTGGGCACGCCTAGGTTCATCTAGACGTGTGTTCTTGCGCCTGCCGAGTAATGTTGTTTGTGAAAGGTAAGGCCGGGCAGGCTTTCCCACTCAGACAATGGGCCATTGTTCCTCCATGTGGGAACCTGTCACTCTGCCGGGCTTGGGTCCAGAAGAATGGCAAGGTCCGCATTTCTTCCGCAATCTTGGACTGTTGTGTGGTGGGTAGCTGGGTTTTGCGGTGAACATCGAACACATCACACCTCAGAATGCACCATGGCGCTTTTCCAGCAACCCGACCTGTGAGGACATTCTCTTAGCGATTGAAGAACCTCAGACACAAGGACTGGGCTGCGTGTGACGGGTGGTATTCTTGGCTTGAGAGATGTCCACCACACAATTTTGCCGGCATGTCAAGGCAGTGTTTCGGCGAGAACGTATGTGGGCCTCTTTGAGCTGGTGGTGGCGTCGTTGTTTGTTTGCGTTTTTTTCACTTGGCGGGAGCTTCTGCTTGGCCGTGAGGCAGTGGCTAGTCATGCGGCAGATATCTTTAGAGAATAGCCCCAACCAACAGCAGTTGAGAACAAAAAAAACCAGTCTGATTACTGGGGGTAAGCCCCATTTTGGGGGTAAACCAGTTGTTCATGACTGGGGCAAGCCCCATTTTGGCACGTCTATGCCGCCCGGAGGCATTTGCTGCATGGAGGTGACCTTCGCCCAGGCGCCCTTCTACGGGTTGAGTCAGGAAAGCAGCATGCGGATTGGCTCAGTGGTTCAAAGCCGACCTTTCGACCTTTTGGTGTTCCTATTTTGGTCCATATATGGAGTCATGGCCCCAAAAGGCTCGGCTTTTTATTTCTGGGTCCCTTGGGCAATCGAGTTGGTGAAGTGCTTGACGGGTTCGCTGCTAGTTGCCAATGGCAGTGTGATATGTGGGGTATGCGGTGGTGTTCCCTCCGGCCGGGCAGCGATGCAGCTTCAGAAAGATGCCACGGGTGTGGCTGGAAGGGACTTCCATTGACTTCGAAGAGGGCTTAGTTTGCTTAGTGCAATTCTTGGTGTGCACAACCCCCACTATCTACCTCGGCTGGTGGGGGGGGGGGTCCGGGATAGGACAGCTGCTGTAACAATCGATGATCATGGTGCTGCGAATGCAGGAAATAGAAGGATTAGCAAAATACACATTTTAACAAGATTAGACTTGGCACTTTGCTGGATCTTCGTGGGACCCCTTGGCTAGGTCGTCAACACGCGGTATGTACTGCGTCGGCACTGCGCCATGTGGACATGCGGCTTTAACACAAGACGGCGAATGCTCACGCTTGGATAGCGTGCTTGAGTGCGTTTGTGCGTTTGTGCGTGCGTGGGTGGGTGGGTGGGTGGGTGGGTGGGTGTGTGTGTGGGTGGGTGGGTGGGTGGGTGGGTGGGTGGGTGGGTGGGTGGGTGGGTGGGTGGGTGGGTGGGTGGGTGGGTGGGTGGGTGGGGGTGTGTGGGTGGGTGTGTGCGATGCTTTCCTTGTCGAAAAGAGCTGAAACTGAAACTAAATCTGCTGCAGAGAGTGGCGTGCCACTGATTCATGAAGGGCACCCAGCGCACGGCGCGAGCACGTGTCCTGCTTTGAAAACGGCATGATGTGTGAGACATAAAGGGCCTGCACTGCTTGTCACAGTTAAGGTGGTAGGATCAAAGGGCTACATCCAGAGCAGGGCGCCTGCCCAGCACATTACGTCACTGAAATGTCACTTTACATCACCTTCAGCTGATGTTTAGCCACCATGGGGTTGTGACTGGGCTGGCCGTGGGCTGTGATCATCCCTTAACGCACTGAGTTCATGGCCTAGGACTGCCCCGCTCGCAGGTGGCAGTCAGGGCTTCCCCGAGTCGGGATGCCATCGCCCTGTGCTACCGCCGCAACTTGGTGGAGTCAAGGATGTAGCTGCAACTTGCTCGCGCATGTCAACTTCAATACAGCCGAACAGCTTGCCTCTTCTTTGAAGGGAGCTTGGTTTGCGAAAGCAGGAACTGGAGACGAGACTTTTGAGAGAGCGGGAGAGAGAGAGAGAGAGAGAGAGCGAGCGAGAGCGTGAGCGAGAGCGAGAGTGAAATAAAATATAAGAATATGTAAGAAGCAAACACGTTTTTGGGAGTGGGAAGAACTTGAGCAATTCAAGCCCTTTGTTTTGTTGTTTGGTGCATGCTTGGAACGGCAAGGCCAGGAAAGGCGGGCACCTCGAATAATTGAACTTGATTGGGTGTGGAGTCTGGAAGCTGATGTTTTTGACTGTTCGATGGGAAGAACTGGCTGCTTCGGAAGAGTTGCCATTCTTCCTGGACCTTAATACCTCCGCTTCTCAGCCTTCAGAGTTATTCAAAGGCGGCAGCCTTTGAATAAGCAATGTTGAATCAAGACCACGCCATCACGGCGAGGCTCCCATGCAGAGGCGATTTGACAAAGAAGCCTGATAAGAAACCGATTCAGAAGACCACCCGAACTTGGCAGCGCAGCTGTCAGATGTTGTCAGGCACCTTTGGCGGATTCAGGCTGAGCATTGCTTATACTTATCCCACGTATAGTTGCCACGTTGCTCGCAGTCGAATTTTGCGAGATTCATCGCGTTCCGCATTTTGGAAGGCCTCCCTGTAGTCAATGTCAGGTTGTTGGCATAATTAGGCGTGAAGTTAGCCACTGGCACTCGCGGGGCTCGGAGAGTTTGGGACAAGGCAAGGGCGAATTGGTCTTCGCGCGGTCGCTGAACTTCTCCGGGTGGCTGAAGTTGGCCGGCTCGGCCCTCAAGGGCTGGGCGTCAAGAAGCGGGCGCACATGGCGAGCCGTGTCCGAGCTTTCCGTTCCTCCACTCCCGGCCCGGAAGCAGAAAAGCAATCGCAGTTCTGTTGCAAGCTTCCAATGCTCGGAAAGCATTCAGGGGGTTTGTGTGCTGGTGAAACGGGGATACCTATAAGTGGGGTTGTCTAATTTCGGAGTCGCGCATCAAGGCGAGGAGGGCTGGATGCTAGCCTTCGCTCCGGAGCATGGCACGCTGCTGCAGCCCCGTGAAGAGGATCCCCAAGCTTGGGGACCAAGATGCTGAGAGCCACAGTGGACCACTGGGGTGACCAGTGGCTTCTGGTACGTCAACACGTGAGGGGGGGTGGACCAGGATAAGGGGATAAGCTCGCTTGCCCAAAGCGACCTTTTGACCTTTTGGTTCCCCCTGTTACCTCTATGTTTTGCAAGGATCAAAGGTTAGCCTTTTAAATCCAGGTCCTTTGGGCAAGTAAGGGCCCTTTGCGTTCCCCCAGCTTTGTTGACCTCAGGGCCGGGTAGAGCCCTTCATTAAAGAAGCTCAAGCACCGCTTGTTGTGCAGGGTTTCGCAGCTGAAACAAGTTTTGCGCGGCACTGATCAACTCCAATGTGCTGACAAGATTATATGACTCGGACCCCCCCCCTCGCCATCCCTCAACAACCTATCCTCTGAAATAGACGACACCACCAACTCAACTGGTTTCACAAAAACTCATGGGCAAGCCAACTTTCGTACGTATTTACGTATGCCGTTTTCAGCACATGTGGCTGTTAGGTGGACCTCTGGGCGGTGGCGGATCTTTGGACAGCGGTGCGTCGGAAGAAGCGCCGCCCGGCCAAATGCGAGCTTCATGACTCTTGGGCGCTGCCACCCAAGTGGCGGAAGTGATTTGGCTTAGGAGTTTGAAAACTTGCTGGTGCTCAGCCCAAGGTTTGGGAATGAACGATTCCCGTATGGTTTATGGGGCATTCCCTAATTCCCTGCTGAAAACCAGCAAGAAAAGTTCACCCAAGAAAGCAAAACTTGTATCCTTTTGGCTTCCCGCCCCAGTTAGGGAAGAACTCATGATTCGCTTGACAGCTTTATGCGTTCAGTTCTCGTCGCAAATGACAATGTGCGTGCGTGCGTGCGTGTATGTCAATGCGTGCGTGCGTGCCTGCGTGCGTGCGTGCGTGGGTGTGTGTGTGTGTGGGTGTGCGTGTGCGTGTGCGTGTGCGTTTGCGAGTGCGAGTGCGAGTGCGAGTGCGAGTGTGCGTGTGCATGCGTGCGTGTGCGTGCTGTGCATGCTGTGCGAGTGCGAGTGCGAGTGTGCGTGTGCATGCGTGCGTGTGCGTGCTGTGCATGCTGTGCGTGTGCGTGTGCGTGCGCGTGCGCTTGCGCGTGCGCGTGCGCTTGCGCGTGCGCGTGCGCGTGCGTGTGCGCGTGTGCGCGTGTGCGCGTGTGCGGTGCGTGTGTGCGTGTGCGTGTGTGCGTGTGTGCGTGTGTGCGTGTGTGCGTGTGTGCGTGTGTGCGTGTGTGCGTGTGTGCGTGTGTGCGTGTGTGCGTGTGTGCGTGTGTGCGTGTGTGCGTGTGTGCGTGTGTGCGTGTGTGCGTGTGTGCGTGTGTGTGTGTGCGTGTGTGTGTGTGTGTGTGTGTGTGTGTGTGTGTGTGTGTGTGTGTGTGTGTGTGTTGTGTTTGTGTTTGTGTTTGTGTTTGTGTTTGTGTTTGTGTTGTGTGTTGTGTGTTTGTTGTTTTGTTTTGTTTGTGTGTTTGTGTGTTTGTGTTTGTGTTTGTGTTTGTGTTTGTGTTTGTGTTTGTGTTTGTGTTTGTGTTTGTGTTTGTGTTTGTGTTTGTGTTTGTGTTTGTGTTTGTGTGTGTGTGTGCGTGCGTGCGTGCGTGCGTGTGTGTGTGTGGGTGGGTGTGTGTGTGCGTGTGTGTGTGTGTGTGTGTGTGTCGTGCCGCGTGTTAGCTAACTTAAATGAGGTGGCATTGGGTTCAAACCACGTTAAGGCGACACACGCACGTTTAGATTGTGTTTTGGGCTCGTCCTGTGCCATACTCATCACAATGCAAAGCATGCCTGAGGCATGCTGACTCCGGCAGATTCGAAGTCGCTGAAGGACTGCCCTCTCTTGACTTCGGCGATGCCCTTTCGATGTTTTGCTTGCCACATGTTGTTCAAGTAGCACGATGTGCTTTTCCGGCGTCCGCAGGTGTGCAGTCACCACAGGCTGCAAGGACATGGTTGGCCCCTGGCCCCCTCCCGTTTCGATAGGATGCAGAGGAAGGCACGAAGCTCATGGCCAGCATGGACTATGAGCACCATGCCCAGGGCCCAGCTTGCCATCGGGCCAAAAAGCGCCCAACACATCCCCAAAGCAATGGGCGTCGAGTGCGAGTGGGGTGCCAACATTTTCTCGGATTGGCTTGTAGGCTCACTTTGCGAAGTTGACATGTGGCTAGACATGCTACCTTCGACCTCTGGCTGGAAGTGGCTTTCAGCAGACACCCGTCTAATTGACACCATGTCACCATGATTTGCTGATTGACTTGCACCTGTGCATCCTGAACCTTGCGTTACCGCCAAGATGAAACAACAGAAATATAGAAATATGATGCTTGCAAGTGCTTGGGATGTTTTCGAGCAACCATTACGGCAATTGTTCAAATCTTGAAGCGAAAGCCTTCTCCGGTCTTAGGTTGAACTGCATGTCCCGAAAGCGTTGGGCATGAAGAAGGAACGCCAGAAAAAGACATGCTTGCTTTGGTGTATTGGCTGGCAATTTTTGTCTTTGGCCCTTTGAGGCAGCATGCTTCGGCCTGCTTCAGGCTTGATTCGGCTAACTCTACCCGCCTGAGGTGTCCACGGGCAATGCAGAACCCTTGGTGGAGGATGGCTTGCTGAAGAAGGACCGCCGCTCGGGGAGGCTCTTGGGATTTTCGGTGGAGCATACCTCCGCAGAAATTCCTAGGTGCTAGGGTGCTTGCTTGGAGCATGTCCGGCCGAGGTGGTCAGTGATGCGTGATTGTGACCAGGAAGCGCTAATCTAACTTTAAGTCAGGTTGACGCTGCTGAGCTTAAGCAGTCTCGGGCTGATGACGTGCAGGCTAGCAAAGCATCGTCAAACACGTGCGCAAACGCAAGCAACCAAGGGGTCTTCAAGGTGTTGGCGGCCCTTTGAAACAAGCTCACGGCAGATCCCGTTCCGACGACACTGATGAAGCTCAATGCAAGTAGTTCAGCTTTGTTTTGTGTGGCACCTAGGGCTGGTTAACCTTCATGACTTGACAAGCTGAATCATGGCGATCCGCTACCCCGACTCAAGCATCATCTTCGTAAGTCATTCAGCAAATAACGTGATGATTGCTTGCTGGCTTGGCTTGGCTTGGCTTGGCTTGGCTTGGCTTGGCTTGGCTTGGCTTGGCTTGGCTTGGCTTGGCTTGCTTGCTTGCTTGCTTGCTTGCTTGCTTTGCTTGCTTGCCATCAACCCAAGTCATACTTTGCAATCAGACCCGTCCTAAAAGAGGCCAAAACAACAGGCTCCAATATGGATTATTGGTCCTTGCTGGGCTGTTGGTTGACCACCGCTACCTTGCCAGCACCAGGAGGATTTGGGTCGCCCGGAAGAATGGGTTCGGCAGCGCTTGTTTGCCAGACCCCCAGGCGCAAGGCCCAGCAAATGTCGTCAGGATCGTGCGCTTGATACCAAATAAATGCAACACGTGGCCAAGAACGTAATCACTTCCCCTGCAGCGCAACATGGCACACAACAAACAACCATTTGCAAACTGAATTCCTTTCGGGAGCCCCCTTTGGGTTTTTCATGTTAGTTTGCAGGAAGCTCCCTTTGATTGCGCAGTGGTGTGCTGGATGCCCAGCTGCAAATGATTAAGATGCACGAGGCCCATGTTTGCGGCGCGCCGCTTCTTGCTAGCTTTCATCAATATTTTGTGCACAGCTAGTTCGGCACACGTTCCGAACATGCAATAGGCCTTCTGAGATCATTTGATCCAAGGCTTGGCACACGAAGAGAAATGGCAAAGCTTGGTCATGGACACATTTGTGTGTTATGCCATGCGGTTTTGGGAGCTTAGATTTGTGGAGTACTCCCCCCGGGCAAACACACCCTGAGTGCCCTCATTGGGCAAGGCAAGTGTGGAAGTCGCATGGACGTCGCTTTGCCTTCGGACTTGAAGCAATGGAGCTGTAAACAGTTTTCTCGTCAACTACAAGTTTGGAACGACAGAAGCAGCCCGCCTGCGCAGAGCGCCGGCTCAGGCCCATTCGCTCGTGCGCATGGCCAAAGAAGAGCCTCCCTTTTGCGCTGCTTGTCGCGCAAGAATCCAGGAGCCTTTCGGGCTATTCAGCTTCCAACCCCGCAAACGGTGCGAATCACTCACTGGCCTCGCCTGGTGTGTGTGGCCATGCCCGACTGTTCTCCGCGCTTTCGGCTCGGTTTGTCACATTTTGCTTCAGACTCGGGGGAGCAAAAGGGCGCTCCAGACTACTAGCAGGGATTGAGTTGGACTCGATTTGTTGTTTGGACATGGTTGAACATTGGTGTCATCATCATCATCCTAGCCTCAACTAATCACTTCCCTAAAATGACAACGGTGCCCCTGAGTGAATAAGCAAGAAAGAGATAATATCTATCTACATATATTACAGCTGGGGTCCGATCGATATTACTTATAAGCAGCCAGTGTCACATTGCGTCACTGCATGTCACTGCAGTCCTTGGGTCAGACGTGGCTTTTCTTAGGAAAGGTAGAGAAGGGGTCTTCCGACTAGTTTAGATCACACTCTTTGGATGCTTTATGTTCGAATTGCTCACAATTGGTTCAGAATCGATTGAGAGTAGTTCTAAAAGGGCCAGGGAACTCTGCTTGCAAGAGCAAGTCAACCCACGCTTTTCAGAAGACTGCGATATAGCCCAACCTAACCTTCACGCAAGGAGACACGGAACAATTGCTCAGAATCAACCGGGCATGATTTGACAAAACAATGCACGGCAGCAGCCCCCTGCAGTAGACACACGGGAAAACCAAGAGAGAATGAGTGGGCGCTCCAATGTACAACCCAGATAATTATGCCTCAGGGCCTAGCTAGACACGGAGCTTTAGCTATGTATCACATGCTTGAGCAAAACCTGGCGAGAGGTTGCCACGTCGACTGCTTCGAGCTAAGGACGTTTGCCCTCCAGACTTCAGGCTTACACCCAGGCACCTCGTCAGCAAAAGCGGGTCCGAACACCCCACTTGGCTCAGTGAGACCGAGACAAGAGATGTGCAGGTTGATTTTGGCACTTCCCACCGCGGCAAGCATCATTGTCGAGAAGAAGCTTATTCTCGATGGTGCTGCAGATTACTTCACTGTGGAGGGTACGACTCTTGGGGTACTCCCCAAGAAAGGATGGAAGGGGCAGATGAGGGGTTACCTGAGGCTTGAGGTCCCTGGGAAACGAATTGGTTCGAAGAAACCGCAACAACCCAGCACCAATGTGACGCCCCAGTAAACGCCGGGCTTCGAGTCGCCCCATTTTATGACATGTCCTGCTTTTGGGGATTGCTTACCCCACCCCATGGAAGTGCCCGGGCCAAACAGGACCATGCCACTTGATTCTGTGCCGCGCTGCGCACGGAAATTCTCGAAGCCAGTTTACCGGGAAGCAGGCACCTCCTGGGGCGACATGAGCTGAGGCCTTTGCCCAAGGAGTTGTTCGAGTCCATGGTGCTGGCGGAGGTTCAGGGGGAACCAGGCCGATCCGGAGATGATGCCAGGGCTGACTTGGCGGTTGGATGCGGTTAGCGAAGTGCCACCCCTTGGAGCTGGAATAGGCCCACTAGCTTTGGCATTGGTTGGGTATGGTTTGCAACTTAGGGCGAGACCCTGGGGAAGACATGGGAGATTGACTATGACAATGACAAGCGAACGTGCAAATGGCGATAAATGGCGTCCTCGCAAAGAAGAGGATTACCCAGCTACATAGCAGCTCTGATTTTTGATGCTGGCAGCAGAGTAACATTGCCAGGTTAAGTAGCAACTTAGCACACGCTGCAAGAAATGATTCAGCCCGCTGGTTACCATTGCACCGTTACGCACGCAGCTTGTCTTGCGTGAAGTTTTAGTGCGTCGGGTTGGCCGTGGCAAGCCTTGAACTTCATGCCAGGGGCGCCCACCAGCAGCAGCAGCAGCACGGCACGGAAGCCGCAGCAACCGCCGCCGCCGCAGGAGGGGGCCCGACCAGCGCGGTTTCGGTCATTCCCAGATGGCTGTGGGTCAAAACCAATGGGATCCCAATTTGGGGTCGCTGCACCACCAATTTTAGTCTTTTTTTAGTGGGGATTGGGCTGTTCACTGGGGGTACGGGATTTTGACCCATGGCCACATGGCATGTTGTGAAAGCTCACCCCTTTGAAGGGTTGCTGCGCAACATGTGCTCCGACTCTCGAAAAGCTTGGTGTTGAGAGAAACGCGATCCGATGGCATATGTGCCCTGCAGCAGCTTTCTTTATGTCCGTATTCGTTTCTGAAATCTGCAGACAGGTTGCTCATTGGCTGGGTTCACGAGGCATCTGGGGCGGATCACAGCTTCATCATGAACTTGGCTTGTGCTACAGCTTCCGTTCCAGAATGATGAGCCCGTTTTGGTTGGCAGGGCAAGGCGAGGCAGAAAATGACCTGAGCATTGGCATTTGAAAGGGCTGCCCGGGCTGAAGCAGAGTGATTTCCAAGCTTGCTGCCGAGGAATGAGTGATAATGAGTGCCTTTTAACTGGTGCCATGTCCACCTAACGAGAAAGAGCAAGCAATGAAGCATCCAGCATGTGAAGGGACTTCATGCCAGATGTCCGCTTTAAAGCAACTCTCAACCTACGTGGTTGAAGGTCACTTCGCACACGAGCCCATGCCAGGAGCGCTTCAAGGAGCGCCAGCTGCCCCGAGAACCCTTGCCGCGGGCAGGAGGACTCCCGTTTTGCCGGGTTTTGCGGGTTGCGCAGAGGAAGCCGTTTGGAGGGTTCCCGAACCTGCAATGAGGGCTGGTGTTCGGGCTGGCCATAGCGCGCCTTTGGATTGTGCTTGGTCATTGACGCCCCTTTGAAGATGGGGAAGGTTTGTCCGCTTCAGAGGCGCACATCCTTTTGTTTGGCCTGGCCAGGCAGCTCCGCAGTCTTCACCTTGGTGCGTTTTGTTTGAGCCTGTGTTTTGAAATGAGGGAACCCTCAAAATGAGTGGTTTCCCTTTCAAGTCCCTTCTGCGCGACCTCAAAGACGATAGAATGTATGTATCCTCCAAAAACAAAACTGGATTCCCATGGGTTAGCTCACGGCATGGCTCACCTGCGCAAGGCCATCACATCGGAGGCGCAGGCGTGCAGAATGGACATAGTGGTCAAGATGTCGGACCCCTTGCTGGATCTCCTGTCCTAGGTTTGGGCAACCCTTGGATGGCTATGTATGTTTGCCCAAGGGCGCCCACTAATTAGAGTCAGAGGCGATGCCTCAATCTTTGTGAAAGCTCGCTTGGACCCCGCGAGCACTGGGAAGGCTCCCAGAGTAGACTACAGGCCATCACAGGCAAGGCAAACCTGTGTCAAACGCACAGCGTGATCCGCCTGATGCATGTTTGCTGGTGTAGGGCGATCTCATTCTTTGTGAGCTGCTGCCCTCCGCCATTCAACAAATGCCAAAGAGATTTCCCATGATTTCCCTGCTGTTGTGCTGGGGGAGCTGCCATGCCCGACCACCTCCCATTCCTGAATGTCTCTCAAGTTGCATCGGCCAACTCACCATGGCAAGGCCGCAACGGGCGAGACTTCTCTTTGGGCGGCACATCGAAGCCCAGCAGGGACACCCAGAGGTCTCTAGCGGCTCCCGCGGGTTCTGCTCCGGGGATTGTGATTGATTTGGCCACACGGGACTGAGTACCGGATAGCCGGATAGGTCACAAACTGGTGCAATTTACATGCTCAGTTGATTTTGCAATCATTGGTTTAGGTTGCCTTTCTCTTCCGACCGCATGCTTACACAACTTGTTTGCAGCTGGCTGTGGCCCAGATGCCAGGCGTGAACCGCTAAGAATGTGCATTCATACCCTCATCCTAAACTAATGTGCGCTTGGCCAATAATTGGCTTGCAAGTTTGCTGTGGCGAGGTTTAAACTTGAAATAGAACCACTATGGCTTTCACAAGGACCCGCAGTTGGGACTTCAGTTCTGAGTGTTTTGGTTCGAGGACAGTGCTCCCTATGGTTTGCTCTGATAGGTGGTCCAGGGCTCACCGAACAAGGAGTGACAATCTTTTGACAAGCCTTGAGCTGCGCCGTTCCCAGCGCCGGGTGGGTTTCAACCTGGACAGTTTGAGGCGCAGTTTGCAGGTTGCTTTGTTGTGGCGCTCGGACTACTCTTTTGGCCATGTCCAGGTAACAATGGTTTTTGAGATGTTGGATATATAGGCGTTGTTGCTCCTTTGCACGCGTTGTTTTTTTCTTTTTTCCCCCAGGTTGGCTTGCAGTGCTTTTCTTTCTGACGGCTTCTCGCACGCAAGCAAAGGCAAGGGCAAAGCTCGCGGAGGCAGCAAAGGCGGCTATGGCAAAGGCAGCCTTGGCGGCTTTGGCAAAGGCGGCATGGGCGGCTTTGGCAAAGGCGGCTTTGGTGCGGGGGCCTGGTCACCCTGGAAAACTTGCCTGCTATCAGTGCGGGCTGTGAGCTGTTTGTGCTCGAGCCGAAGTGTTTGATCCCCCCCTAATAGAATCCGCCGGGGAACAGCCGAGTTCTCATGTTTCGGATTGTGTGGGCTCCGAATTGGCTTGACATTTTTGCTTATGAATTGGTTTCGCATTGGTTGATATTGGGTCTAAAGAGCCATAAAGAGCCCCCTAATACGACTTATTTTGGTGTCAATGTTGCGCCGCAGCGACCAGGGCCCGCGCACGTACCTAGCCCCAATAAATGCGTTGAAGCGCTTGTTTCAATTTAGGCATGGCCAAAGACCCAAGGCAACGCAACCTTCCTGGAACAGCCATACTGTGGATGGACAAAATCCTGCACTACTTTGAAGCATGGGAAACCATATCGTTTGTTGGTATTTAAAGGGGGGGTCATACTTCCAGCGCTTCTTAAGTGGTGCAGGATTTCCCCCCCCCCCCCCGCAGTAGCACTAGGTCCCAACCTGCTGCCTGGGTAGAAGTGGGGGCTTCTTCTCCTGTTTGCAAGAAATGTTAACAAACTCGTGCAGCAAGAGCCGTTTGCGTTCACAACCCCCCATCGAGAACAAGCTATAGTGGGCAGGTGGGGACTGCTGAGAGGAGCAAGCAATCAAGCCGGTGCGTGCGGAAATTCATGAACACTCCACACGGCGCAAAGACAGAAGCCCGTGAATAAAGCCAAACAGGGCGGGATTGTCTTGGCGTGTTCGCATATGGCCGTGAGTCGGAATTAGGTTCCCAAAATAGAACCCTGGTAAATGTGCGCAAGGACCCAACACCTGAGGTCTGGTGGTTTCATTTTGACCCAGGCCCGTGCCCATTCTCGGCTCGGTGTCCTCTGCCCGTGCCCACGTGCCCTGAGGCATGGACTTGGGCATGGGCGGCATGGGCATGGAGACTGGCGGCTCGGAAGGCATCGGGCATGGCTTGGATGGGCTGTCCTAGGTCCTAGGTCCTAGGTGTTTGTTTTCCGGCAACCCTTAGTTGGTGAGGTGATTTGGGGATTTGGGGATTTGGTGTTTTGTTGCTTAAGTTCAGGTTTGCCTTATTTGGAGGCTTGGATTGGTGGTGCTTGGGGGTTTGAACAATTTTTGCCCCTGAGTAGCTGAAGCTGAGGCGTGGTTCCTGTGGAGATCAACGGCGAAGAATTCCTAATGACGCAGGCCCCGGCCTTGGATCTGCATCCCGGGCCACTGACATGTCGGCCCACCATTTGTACCGAGTTTGCGCTTCTGGGTAAACCAGCGCCCTGCCCCGAGCCCAGGAAGGCCTCGTTTTTGACCCGGACACGCAGGCGCCCATCGGATTGCCGGGCTCCCAGCAAGGCCCGACCTCGTGAATATGGCGTTGGGAAATGAAGCTGGGGCAAGATGACGTGCCATGACTCAGACCGAAAGGCATGTTGTGCAGTGGTTACTGGGCCCTATGGAATACGGCCAGCTTTGTCAAGTTGTACTAGCGCAGGGCAGGCACTGACAATTATTCATGGTGCAGACGGCAGCGCAGAAAAACTTGCGCTGTCATAAGCCTGAGGTTCAACCCGCAAACCGGCGAGGCAGGGGTTTGCTCGACAGCTAGTGTTGCAGTTTGCTTTTGAGTCACCTATTGTGTAGTTTGCCGCGCTGCATCCATCGATGCAGGTCGATGCCATGCGGGAATCCTATTTCAAACGTGTGAATTATTCACTGTATGATGGCGTTAGGGCTGTCGTGCTGCTAGGAAACCGTAGGCACTGGAAACTGAAACCTCGCCGATGCTGCTGAGGATGCACAAGGTTCATTTGGCACCAGTTGGGATGGAGAAAACCCTACAATTCCTGGGGGCATCCACATACTAAGCATAGCTGGGGCAGGCGCAGGGTTTTGTCAATCAGTATTTCGTTCCGAGGGAATGGCTTCGCCACAATTTGCAGCGGCATTCCAGGCGTTGCCAGTGAGTCCTCGCATCCTTCGGCCAGCCTTTTGCCCCTTGCAACACTTCCGCACCAACGCCGAAAGAGGAGGATTGACTTTCCTACGCAGGTGCATGAGATCACCGAGGCTGGGCGTGGCATTGAGTGAAGGGTCCACCGACGCAAGGCAGAAAGCAGAACCCAGTCCGCCGGATTTTCGTGAACTCTTGCCAGCTGCGGCGATGGTCAGACCAAGGGCGAATGGTTGAATGGCTCCCTGCCATCACCGGTCTATTCTCGCTCAGTTTCGCATGAGCATGAGCTTCAACTGGTCCAGTTCTAGCAAGATCGCCGGACTTCTTCCATTGGACGGTTTGGCCGCTATAGCACACAATTCCATTGAAGTCGTCAGGTTTTCTTGGCTCACGATCCTGCGACCACGCGCCGCATTCCGTGAGGAACATGTAAAGAACCTGATGGAGAACATCGGGCAGGTCGGCATGGTGGAGCTCAACGGCAGGCAGCTTTGCACGGCACGAAAGCGATTTGTTGATTTGTTATGTGCAATTTGAGGGCATTGGCAACTCCCAACGAATTGCTAGGGACCCGCGCTAAGGACAGCTTTCCGGAACGCGAAGGGGCCTGCCGGTCGAAACTTTGAGCGGATCATCAGCTTTGCCCCACCTTTGCAGCTGGAGCTCCTGCTGGCACCTTGTTGCCCTCCCAGTTGAATTCCAATTTCAAGTAGATTCGCCCAGTGGCTGTGTTTAGCCCTTTGCAGCTGCACAGTGCTGTGTGGCCGAGTCTGGGCAGGCCTTACATCCTCATGGCTGGCCTGCTGGTGGATCCGCAGACACAGGCTGGGCAAGCAACTGCACTCAGGCTCCAAGAGGCGACCAGCGTGTCATTCCTTGCGCCGCACAACCTAGGTGTTTCAATCTTGCACTTTGGCAAACTTTCATTGTGGACCACTACGGTACGTGCCTGTTCTGTAGCTACGTCCGTCAAACCGTACATGTTCCAGTCAGCCCTGTTGGCGCTTCCTTGCAAAAAGTAGCGGCGAACACCATGCTTGAATGGCGACTTGCTGCACTTCATGGCACATGGGCACCCAGCATGAGCCATGTTCACGTGCGCCTGACGCGCAAGCCCCAAGCCCAAACCGCCCCCTCCCCCATGTGGACAACTGGGGCTCGCAGGCGGTGGCTTTCAAAGTGGAGCCCGACGGCACCGTGGTTGACGCCCAAACCGGCGAGCCCTGCGGCATGCTGGATTTGAATGATTTGTCGCCCGGGCACCAAGAAAAAGGGCCAGAAGGAGGGCCAAAAGCGGTTGGGATCGGTGGGCTTAGGCGATTCTCCCGGAGTTCTGCAACTTTTCTTGGTCCACATGCGGCCATGCCCAAGCAACAAGGGAGAATGCCTTGCTTGGGCGCAGGGTGGCGAATATCATTAAGCTCGTGCTGTGGGAAACCTACGTAGCACCCGCAAAGTCAGTCAGCATGCAGCAGCAATATAGCAACAGGTTCTTGCGTGGAATCTTCGCCTTCGCATGCCTAATCCAAGACAGTTGTTGAACATCCTTCGGTTTGGGTCGGAGGAACGGTCTTTATGTTTGAAGCAGGCCGATGGAGTAATTCTAGGCTCTAGCGACCAGCAAAGCTGATCGCAGCGCTGATTTCAGGGTTGCGGCTTCCTTGAGCCAGGGGCGAGCCCCAACTGGTGCCAAGCAGCAAGCAGCCAAACCAGCCGAGCCGGGCGAGCCAGCCCTTCACCGATGAGGACAGGGGTGTGGAGCCAGCTCCATGAAAAATTGATGAAGTGAATGGCAAATGTAAACTTGGTGCCCTAGGTTGCATGTATATAGATATATATATATATATATCCCGTTTGCGCTGTGCGAGGGTGGGTGGGCGGGGCAAGCAGCATTCAGCAAAAAGCTGCCTATTGCGTGGATCTAACGTTCAGTCGGGTGGCTGTGTTTTGGTGCGGTGACAGCTCGGGGTTTCCTTCGGCCAGAATCTGGATGCTCATGGCTGGGCTGAAAGGGCGAGAGAGCTAGCTGCTGACGACTACTTCTACCAGGCGCGTGCCCGGAGTTGTTCCAAGGCTCCCGGAGCGTCACCTAACAGCACATGCCAACGTGTTGCAAGACTGGGTGCCCCGAGGTGTGTGAGCTGGTTTCCCCTTGTTCGAAGCAATGCGCATTACAAAACCCAACGGGTAAGAAGAGCATGTCTCACCCAACAGATGGAGCAACATGATACTGTAGATGGACAAAAATTATGCAGCAAGTTGAAACCATGGCAAGCCATTGTTTGTTGGTACTTGTTGGTATGTACAGGGGCATCATCATTCCAGGCTTTCTCAGGTGGTGCAGATTTCGTCCATCCACAGTATCACAAACTCGCACGGCTTCGCTGCCCCCCCGGTCAAGCGCACAGCTTCGCTGCTCGTGCGGCAAGGCCGCAGCGGCCTTCGGTGAGGCCCTGAAGTGCTGCGAGGACGAGCGGGCAGCGCCTGGGATGAAGTGAGGGGAATGTGGCCCCGGGGTCACTTACCCCTTTGGGCCGTTTGCAGGTTTGCACCTCCCGGGGATTGGGGTTGTTGGCAATCGGAAGCTTCTCGGAGCTTGGTTGGAGTCTTTGTTGCTGCTAGGGCAGGAACTTGAAAGCCACCAAACGCAGCAGTGGTGGGTAGGTAGTTCGGCCGTGCAATGGCACCACTGCAGTGATTATCGTAATTCAACAAAATATCTAAACTTTAATAACTCTTTACTAGCCTGCATGAATTTACGGACCATGGCATAGTTGCGAAAGCGCCATCGCATCATTGGCTTCAGAAATTATGTGACATGCGCAGCATGTTTGAAACCTGCTCGCCGCCTTCATTGCTGGCCGCGAGAACGCTACAAAGCACATGACAGATCGCTGGCAAGAGCTTTTGTGTTTACGCTATCGTCTTTGATAGTGGTTGTTTGACTTGGCTTGCTGTAGCTGTTTCAGCTGGGACGCCCATGACGATCCTCTATGGGCATGGTGTGTATGGATGTCTTGCATAACATTTGCTTTTCTTGGATTCATCCCACCAGAGGATATCAGAGGTTGGGCATGACCCTGAGTCACTTCTTACCACCTGGTAGGCCGTCCAGCGGTCTTGCTTTTTAGCCGCCAAGTGGCTGCGAAACGTGGCTCTTCAGCCGAGGTGGAGCTCGACTTTGAGTGCGAACTCCTGAAGGGGAGGGCCTTCTGTTGGAGGAGCCATGACGGTCTTTGGGTGCTCGGGCTCGGGCCGCCAGCATGTTCAACACCTGACTGCCTGACATGGTGTGGTGCGCTGGGTGGGGAGCCCATGCAGCGTTTCTTGTTTGTTGGCTTGTTCATTTGTTTCGAATGTGTTTTGTTTAGTCTTGTCGGCTTTGATTGCGCTTTAGGTGTGTTTTGCCAGCCTGCTACGAACAACAAGTATACTTGTTGTTTGTCCTTCAGTGTTGCTTTGATCCAGTTGCAGCGGCAGCGTGACGAGCTGCCCTATGCAGGGCTTGTTTGCGGCTTGTTGTAGATCTGCTTGATGACAGCGCAGTGTGGCTCAGCCATGATCGTAACATGGCGGCCACGCGCCATCGAGATTCTCGTTTTGCTTTCGGCTGCCGTCAGTGCCGGCCTCAGCCCAACGGAGAGGTGGCTCATGTGGCCAGGCTCCAAATCCACGTCACAAAGCTCAGGCTCCCCTTGGTTGCTGCTTTGACTTGGTGCTCCTTGCAGCACTAAATGGGGCAGCCACCCCCCAACGTCCGTAACGTCCAAACAACCGAACCACACCACCAACTAGGGGCAAGGTGAAAAAGCTACAAGGAAATGGAGCACCCCCAATGTTATTACGGTGCTGGCCTGCGCCCAAGGGGTATAGATCGACTATTGAGCTGCATGATCTCCCTTGCCATATGGGCGCTGCTAGGAATTCAACAGCTTGACTTCCTTTTGAGCCCTTCTTAAGTAACACACCACGCAGACAGTAATCCCATATATGTGATCACTTTGTAATGTATGCGCTCGGGACTTGTCATGGGATTTTTTTTTGGCTACCTGATGTCTTCTTTGCTGGGGCATAGCGTCGACAGAATCGCTCGTTAGGTTGCTGATCTGGGCCCAGGAAGATGAAGAGAAAGGAACAAAACGGTTGGTCTGGCATGAACAACCTCTTAGTGCCTAGGTGCCTCCGCGTCAGTGGACTACATCACCTATAGTTGCTTGGCCTAGATGCATGCTTATCGTGACTGGTCGTGGTTTCCGGGCTTGGGAAGTCCGCTGGCCAGCGCTTGAGCCAAGGATGGTATGGGTACCACGAACGATTTTCTCGGACTGCTGGCTGGCCAAATAGTGCTTCTGAAGTTTGTCAAGGCTTCCCTGCTGCAACTTGGCATGGAAGGGGGGCTTGGGTTATGAGAACCTCGCTTTGATACCAGGAATAGCTGCAGTTGAGTTGATCAAACCTTTTGGGGTACGGATGAGAGGCAACGACGCAATGACCATGAGATTTGGCACGGTGAGGCGACACTCAGGTACCGGTGAGGCAACATTCAGGCACCTGTGAGGACGGACATCCTTGGAGGCTTCCCATCGGAACCGCCTGAGGTGTGTATGTCGCTGCACCTGAACCGTTGCGTCAAATTGCCCGCCCATATGCACGTGCCATGGACCAGGCGGGGCGGGAGCCGCTTCAAACAACCTTGCGGCCTAGGGGAGAGGCTGAAAGAATGAGCAATAATGTCATGGACTCCCTACGCGTATAGCATTGACAGCTTTCTGCCCGGTGGACATGCATGTAGGGGATCAAGCGTGTCAAGCGCAGTGCACCCGTTGGTGCAGGAACCTCACTGCCGGCAGCGGGGAGGCCGCCAGCCAAGCGAGAAAGAGCAAGGGCGGCGCCGCCGGGCAGCACAGAAGTTGCCATTGGATTGTTTGCAATGCTAGCTACTTGGTTGCGGGTCAAAGTTAAACTACCATTTACCAGCGTTCCGAAAAGGGGTACCTATTTTGGCCCACAGCCACTTGTGCCAAGGCCACTTAAAAGGCTTTCCCTTTTCTGAGCTCTCTCAGGAGGTTTGGATCACCTACAGGTTGTTGGGCTGACTGGCCATGCTGAGGACTACGTTCTGCTGACGGTGCAAGATGAGAATCATCAGCCTAGCAACCAGGGCTACCTGCACATCTACAGCGGTTGCAGCTACTCCGGAAGCAATTTTGTGACAGGGTTAGAAACCAACACCTTGCCGCAGGGGGCTGGCATTCTAAAAGCTGCATTGCTGTTGCATTTCTAGCTAGCGGATCAGCACGCGGTATTGTGAAGGGAGGTGCAGCATGACGTATCTGACCAACTCCCCCCAAGTGGTGTGTCTCAAGGCTCCATTTTAAGGTTCATTTGTGGCTGGATGATGGAGCTTCCGCAAGCCAAATATTGCAAAGCCCGCTAGACTGAAAACCCAACCGAGGCGAGACTTGCGAGGACTGCTATTCAGGCAGTCGGCGCTGGGAGTGGGAGTTCGTGCAAGGTGATTGCTGAAGCATGCTAGTCACCAATGGGTCAGCGAGCTAAGCGTCAGATATCTCCAGGCCGAGCCAAGCCTTGCCTGCTTCAAGTTAATCCTTGCGTTTCCGCCGATTCTCAGCTAGGGACAAAGGCATGATAGCAAACGGGATGGAAGAAACCTGCTCCTGCAGGCTGCCAAGCTTAATACCAATGCAGAGCTTTTATTTTGCACATATGTCGGCTGATGACATGGCTCGTATTGGCACCCACCCGTTCCTACTGACATGCCTAAATGCTTTCACGGCGCCGAGCTGTGGCAGGTACTGGCCAAGTGCTACACCCGGTGTGGCTGCCCAGCATGTGCGGGACTACAAATGACCAATCTGCGCCCCGGCGAAACCGCGAGGCATCCAAGGCTGTTGTGGCCTTGCGAAGCTTTAGGGCGAAGCAGAGGTTCACATAGTGCACGTCGCTGACCCTTGGGCACCCAAGGGATACGCGTGCGCATACGCCGGCCAGCCAAGGTGTTTGGCTTGCTGTACAACCCTGGAGACGGCCAGCTGCTCAGAGATTGTTTGGATGGTGAATGTTTGGCCAAGGAGATGGGAAACATGTGAAAAAGTTGGACTGAACCAATTTTGCCAGGACGACATAGCTCAATTAGCCAGAAGTTGCCGTTGTGATTTTCAAACAACAAGTTTCTGCCACGCTGAATCAGGCAAAGGCAAGTGCAACCCACAGGAATGTTCTGATGCGCCAGCCTTGTAACAGCCCAGGGTCGCCACATGTCTTTGGGGACCGCGTGTGTATGCCGCGCACCCTTTGCAATCGCAGTCGCGTGCACGAACAAGCAGTTGGCGCCAGGGAGGTAGCAAGAACTCATCACACACGTGTATGTTGAGCTGGTCGAGCGCCCAACACGCAAGCTGATCTTGCTAAAGGACTTGGCTCGCGGAAGTTGGACGCTATCCATTTGCATCCAATTGTGCATTCCCCTTTAAGAAGCATCAAATGCATGTGCGTGTGCCAATTGTTGCACCCCCCTATAGTTAGTAAGGATACTTGCTTGCTAGGATCTGGAAGAGCCGCCAAATTGTAGCTCTTGATGCCACTGCTACCGTTGAGTGTTGATGCGCTGCAAGATGGAAGCAACACGATGCCTGCAACTTGCCTGGATGCCTTGGCTGCTTCAAGGTTTTTCGTTCAGAGAAACTGCGAACATATGCGAACATACAAACAAAGCAACAGGGATGCTGAGCATCTGGCCCAAACTCGCCTTTGAAGTTTCCCTCTTGAAGCCAAGTCGACAAAGGCCCAAACAACTGAGCACCGCTCGCTGAGCCAGGCAGTGCCGACACGACATTCAACTGCGTCGAGTCCTTGGACACTTTGCTGCGCTTGGCTAAACGGCAGCACTGCAAGTTGGTTGTAGCCATTCAGCGGGTGTATGTGTGTTTTTGTCCCAAGCCTATTTTCGCATGTGTCACTTGAGGCTTGGAAACAGCAAGACGATTGCGATATCCAATGTCGACTGACTGTTACAAGCAGAGCAGACTGTGTGCCTGACATTTCGCTGGGTGTCCTTATGTGTTTGCTTGCAAAAGCTAACGCGCTGTTCAATCTGAGCGCCCCAAAGCAGGCATAGAGATGACAGGAGAGCGCATGCTAGCTGCTTCTTGTCTTTGTGCTGCAGCTGAGGACCAGTACTGGGAGCATGCGTCCTCCAATGACCTTTTTGCCACCATTATGCGAATATCAATCTCCTGTCTAATAGCCCCTGAGCATGAAGCAAGGGTGGCGTCTTTCGTTTGGGACTTGCAACAGGTTGGAACATGCAGCCTGGCAGTGTGTGTGTGTGTTGCTTCTTTTGGTGGACTGGCCGGCCACCAGTGGAAGTTGGCCAGTGTTTGTGGGGAGTGTGCGAGTATCTGGCAGGGGGTTTGGCTTTCAGCTTGCCCGGCGAATGAAGTCTTCAGGTCATTAGTTCGTCATTAGATCTTGTAGGGGAACCGAAGGTGACCATTTGCATGAAATGGTGTGGCTTGCTAGTGCATGCAGCTCGACCGTGCCAAACCGCTGCAGCTAGCCGCAAGGAAGGGAACAAAGCCACTTCCCACGGTCATTTCGAATGGTTGTCAAAGGTAAATACATCCCCCTTTACAGTACATGTCTCTTGCAAAATGGGTGAGGTTGACCTCCCTTTCAACTTTGCTTTCTTAGCGAATAGTGAAAGAGGGGCTGGTTGGGTCACCCCAATGTGTAGTAACCCCATTTTGTAGTAACCCATTTGTTTCGTCAGAACGAGGCTACATGTCTCTTGTTTCTTTGCGGGCCATATTGAGGGCACCTAGCAAACACTCTCGTTTCCACCATATCCACCCTGCCCAGTCCACTGGTGGCCCTCCCAAATTCCAGTTGCAAACGCAAGTGCCCAGTTTCATTCACGGCTTGTACCGGAAACAGTTCATGCAATCTGGCAGTGATGATGGGATTACACATGTTGCATTTGCATCCCCCTGTGATCCCCTGTGAATTTAGTGGGTTAGGTTGGAACAGCCATTCTGTTTCATAAAAACCGGTTTGGATGGAGCATCTACAAAATGAGGTGGTTCCTGAGTTCGACGGGGCACTTTTTTGTTTTTACCAAGTGATTACAAGCTGTCGCTTAAGCTGCGATCTGTTTCAATGGGGGCTACCCCTGAAATCCAAACGTCATTTTGTGGTGGGCCAGTTGGCTCTCAATCCCACCAGTGTTCCAAATGGATTGGACGCCCAATCTGTAGGGAAAATGTTGTTCGACCAAACCATTTGTGTGTGTCCATGTTTGCCAGCATCTGCGTCCTGCGTCCGACCGTGATTACGTCTCCAAGCTCTACTAAAACACTAATATTACCATACATTCCTACAAGATGACATACATGGACATACCCAAGAACAACCGCACCTTGGTCTCAGGTGCTTGTCGTTATCACCCTGGGCTCCTTCATTTACTTGCGCATTTGCAAGGCGGAGCCGAGCTCTTACGGCGACGGCTTCGGCAGTTACCGCGGCCATGCCCGAGTCCGCACCCTGCATAGGTTAGGAATCCGGGACGGGAAAGCCAGGAGTGCTTCAGTGCAGGAGCAAGAATCCTGGCCAGGAGTTGAGGCAACTCAAAGTCACAGCAATAGTTCCGGGGGTGGGGCAACCGGAGGAGCTGCGCGCCCTTAAAGTAGTACAGCTGTCGTTTGCATTCGGTGGCGCTGTTATGTTCAGAAGGGCACACGGGAACGCAACAAAAACACTTGAAGCCGCAGGCAGGTAGCGGCTAGGCCATTGCCCCGCCGTTCCTGACATTGAACTAAGGCGGCGCAGACATTACCCGGGAGCAAGTGGAAGCCTGCCTTCCAGAGGTCCATGTGGACGAGGACGCCTTGATTTGTTCCACTTCTGGTTGGAAGGTCTTCTCCGTCCCCGTCTGAGCACCAGCTGGCAGTTGCCTGTCTGTGCCTGTGCCTGTGTCTGTGTCTGTGTCTCTGTCTGTGTCTCTGTGTCTCTGTCTGTTTCTCTGTCTGTGTCTGTCTGTGTCTGTCTGTGTGTTTGTGTCTCTGTGTGTCTGTGTCTCTGTGTCTCTGTGTCTCTGTGTCTCTGTGTCTCTGTGTGTTTGTGTCTCTGTGTCTCTGTGTCTCTGTGTCTCTGTGTCTCTGTGTCTCTGTGTCTCTGTCTCTGTGTGTCTGTGTCTGTGTGTCTGTGTCTGTGTGTCTGTGTTTGTGTGTCTGTGTGTTTGTGTGTCTGTGTGTCTGTGTGTGTGTGTGTGTGTGTCTGTGTCTGTGTTTGTGCGTGTCTGTGTGTGTGTGTCTGTGTGTGTGTGTCTGTGTGTGTGTGTCTCTGTGTGTGTGTGTGTGTCTGTGTGTGTATCTGTGTGTGTGTCTCTGTGTGTGTGTCTCTGTGTGTCTCTGTGTGTCTCCGCCGGTTGTCTGCTGGCTGTTCAGATCCTTTGAAAGAGGTTAGCTTGTTGCTGCTGATTTCGGTCCCGGCCTGCTGTACCTGCGTCCACTTGAGTCTTGCCGTCATCCTTCTTCCTTTGATTGCTTGGTGCTTTGCTTGCTTCCTCGCTCGCGTGACGCCTGCTCCCATACTGTGATGGACACGCCCAAACAATATGCAACAAGATGGCACCAACATAATGGCACACTTTCTAGTCCCCGATCAACCTGGATGTAGTTGTGTCTTTGTTCCTTAGCGCTGAAGCTTGAAACTATCTTGACTGTTTCTGTGAACCTGGCCAATTGAGCCTGCGTTCGCCAATGGCTCACTTAAAGCATGGACATCTTTGAGGGGCCGCACAACATGACTGTCACTCGCTTTCAACGCGTTGAACTCCCTCCCAAAAATTGGTGATTTGGAGACATGCCGTGCACCCTTGCAATGTTGCCTGTTGCAGGGCCGATTCTATGAGCACGTAGCAGGCCCGGCCCTTTTTTCCGTCATGCTTCAAGCGCCGGATTCCCATGTTCAGAGACCTTGGATGTGGGGGATCCCCAAAGTTCCCCGGTGGAATAGGACCAAAACCCTGTAAAATGAAGGCGGCCCTTAGAAACGAAAGCTGGGACAAGGTGAACACCCCTGTAAAACGAAGGCGGCCCTTTAAAACGAAGCCTCCAGACATATTCCATTTTTGCACCTTTCAATCTTGGAGATAGCTCATGTACTAAGGATGAGATTCTAGTTGCATCGGTGCATACCTCATCTTTGGGTAAAGTCCTGAGCTCAGCCCCGTCCAGGAGGCAACCTGTGCAGTGTGCCTAGACACCATCCAACCACGAGACTCAGCCCGGCGGCTGAAGTGTCAACACGCAGCCTGGGCAGCATAGCGCGACGCTTCATGAAATGTTAGCTGAGACATGCAAACCTAACTTAGCATTGATTAATCTGCGCGCTTATGAATATATACGCACGAGATGTATGCTGCCTTGCCGGAGAGAGCGCAAGCAAACATGACCAGACATCTATCTTTGCTTCTGTCTACAGATGTGTGCATAGCCATGTGATTCGACTTCCACTTTCAGACTTCCTGAATGGATACCCATCGATGCACATGTGCAATGGTGATTCCCTGATGCGCGTTCGGAATCCGAAGCCTGAAATCGTTTCCCCAGGAATTTCACTCAGATTGCATTATCTCCTGGTGCACCCATCGGGCACAGCGAGTGCTGGAATGCCCGGTGTGCCGCAGCAAGACGCCATTGCCCGGCCAGGCTTGGTGGCCTTCCGTCGTTTCTGTTCGTCGTTTAGTTTCGGGATGCGCGAGGAGTGGGTCTGGTTGGCGCATGTTGGCTCACTCTGATCCAGCAACAAAACATTCCGTATGCTCCTTTTGACTTTTTTGCATACCCTGGTCAGGGTCAAGAAATATTTGGTGGCAAAAGGCTTAGCTTTATTTGCGGATTTGTCCTATTTGGTTTTGGGTTTTTGCTTAGCTTTTTTTTTCAGGGTAATAAATCAATCGTAGGTGGACATTGAATGCGCCTTCGGCGAGCTTGGGCGACATGTCTCGAGGGGGGCGGGGGCTCGGGTTATGATGCGTGACGACCTGGGCCAGGCTGACGATGAGCACCAGGAAGCGACGCCCCAGGTGATCGGGGGCGCCTTGTCAGGTTTGCAGGGAGAGGTACGATCCTTGATCGCCCACTTCAAGTCCGCGTTCCTGGACTTGAAGCTTTTCGGGAAGACCATCTTAGTGGTAAATGAAAAGTTATATACTTGTTTGCCAATCCACTCAGGAAGTGAGTCCTTGATCAAGAGATGCCGTTGTTTGGTTCACTCCCCCAGGGTTGTTTCCAGGATTTGGGTCTAGTCTCCACGTGCGAGCGGCAGCATGGAAGTGGGAGCCAGGGTGGAATTGCAGGAACATGATCGCTCATGCAACCCATCATGGTACGTACAGCTTGCATTACGTAACTTATTATGTGACATCATTTACACGGAATATATGTACGATGTTGCTGATTGGTTGTGAGGGCTTGACAACTAGGTTTGTCAAGTTTGAACGTTTGACCTTAGATAAGAGGTGTGGCTTGACGAGGCTTGGACACGCAGGTCCACGCTCGCGTGGTTGGCTTCCATGCTAGTTACGTTAAGGTCATTTGTTTCATGATCTTGTGCTTAGCGCTTAGCGCTTTTGCTTGGCCCTGTCCTTTGCTTGTCCGCTCGTCAACCTGGCCCATGTGCTTTCCTCACTATTTGTACCTGTGGGGGGTGGGCAGGATGGCGAGATTGGGGGCAGAAGAATGAGTGTGATGGTGCCCGTTGCCGGGCGTGGCAGAGGGTTTGACAGCCTCGATGTGCGCTTGGGGGTGGCTCGCTTCATGGTGAAAACGCAGGTTGGCAACGTCTCAGCAGAACAGTGGCAGTGTCAGTTCAGGCAATTACCCTGGCCACCACTGCGTGAAAGGAAATCCCACATGCAGCGAATCGAAGTATGGCCATGTTCCGGGGGGGGGGGGCGTGCAAATGTTTTCTTATTTCTTATACTTCTCCGTGGTTGCGCTGGTCTTCCATGTGTAGGTTATGAATGGGGCCAAAACAAGGAACGTCCGTGACAAACTGGGCACCAATGCCACTCGAGCGAAGCGCGCGCAGAATTTGCAGGGTTCACCCTTTCGGAGAAAGTTGTGGCAGAGCTCTGCGCATTCAGCCAAGCATGTGCTCAGGAGCTACTTCACCGGAGACGGCCTCCGTGGAAGGCGTTTAACGAATTCATTGCCCGGCTGTTGGAGCTTCAGAAGAGTGCTCTTCCGCTGATTGTGCTTGGCGTTATTTGGTGCAATTGTTGATGCAAATTCGGACCAGTGCATTTGCTTTGTGATGTGAGTTCTTTGGCCAGCGTGACACGCTTTGGATATAATTGAAGCTAAGGATTCCCTAAAATGCATTCGACTGACAAAATGTGCTACTGCACTGTAGATTTGGCATTGGCGGGCTAGACTGGCTCATTTTGCGGAAGTCACGTGCGCCCACCTTAAGGCCAGCTTGAACAAACGTTGCAAGCCACTGGACATAGCCAAGTCGCCACTGAGAATCACCCCATAGACAAAGAGGTATAAGAGGTCCTAGCTTGACGAATTGGCGGGCCGGAATATCAGCCATTGTCAGCTTGTGTCCTTGTTGGGAAAAGGCGCCTGTTGCTCCATCGGCCGAGGCTTCGTAGTCAGTTGGCGACAAGTCAGAAACCTTTTTCCACTTTTGTGGGGCAAGGGCGGAGACAGGAGTTTCCGATTGGTCCAAGCTTCTATTAGTTATGGACCCATATTGGTTGCACAAACTCCATGTCAAAGAATTCCTCGAGAGCCTTGCTTCCGCCGGTGTGCTCCCTAGGCAAGCAACTTGGGACTCGATTTGCCCACCGGCGTGGCTTGGGTTACCCAAGATCTGAATGAGCAAACAAGTTGCTTCAAGAAAAGATTGCTTTTGGACGGTCATACAATGTAGGTGAAAGAATCAATGTTTGCACAGACTGAGCAACCACAGGACCAGATGTTGTATCACATTGGATAAGCACTTCCATCCGAAAGTTAGGGTCCCAAGATGCTGCCAGTGCCCCAGTGTGTCGACGCCAAGTTCCTTTCAGTCGGCTTGTGGTTCGATGGGCATATGCCTTCGTGGTTTTCTGCCCTTTGCTGGCGGCTGCCCAAGGCAGCTGCCTTCTCACAGTGTCGCACGCAGAAAAAAACATCGGCCGGTGGCTGCGGCAGTCTTTGAGCAACAGTGACACGGGCACAAGGCATGGCTTCAAGCACGAATTGTATTGCCCAACTCCCTGCCGGTGCGGACAACAAGACACCAGGTTTCAAAAGGTTCTTCCTACTTGGTCGTGTGAAGCCAAGCTGTTAACTTCTGCTTGTCGGAGCTTGCCGAGCTAAAGTGCCTGTCGAGGCCACAACTGGACACGCCATGTTGATTTATGAAGTGGAGGTTGCCACTGGTTTTGAGGCCTGATGTACTTTGGAAATGTTTGTCCTGCAGCCGGCGTCCACGCCATGATAAGTTTGAAGGCATGGTGTTCGTGTCTGCAGTGCCATTCAGCTGCTCGATTTGAACAGTTGGGGTTTCCTCCGATCCTGATACTTCCCGGCATTCAGGTACAATGTTGGGCTCATACCTCCATCCTGACAGCGGTGATGAGATCCTCATCTCAGCTGACAGTCGAGGCTACATTTGGATCGGAAATGAGGAGCGCTTGACCTTCGACTTTGACGAGGAAGGGCGGCTGGCCTATGTTTAGTAGAACTCTGTCGTTGTTTTTGCTCGCCAAGATAGCATTCTGCCCAAGCCAAGGTTCAAGTTGATCCCGGCCGAGGGGAGCGATCATAAGGTCGAGATCACTTTCGAGCAAGAGGAAGGCATTGTGTCTGCAGCCATTCGCGAGGATGTGCGCTATGAGCGGCTGGTGGGCAGCATGGAGCTAAAAGTCCGAGAAGGCCCTGTCCATTTGTCACTTGCTGAGGTGAAGCGTGAGGGGGAAAACGTCCATGCTTTCATTTGCAACGTGGTGCAAGACCCCAACGACTGGCGTGACTTCAGCGTCCTGGCTGCGATCGCAACGAGCGCTCACTTGAACAATGGCAAGCCAGCAGTCATTGTTGATGACACCTCACCCGCAGATGATGATGCTATTCAGGATCTTCTGGACCGTTTGCAGCCGAACCAAGTTACGGTTTTCCGCTGCGAAGATGAAGACAGCCAAGGCCAGATCAAGGGCTCAGAATCTGCCCAAGTGGCCGAGCGCACATGCAATAGTTTGTCGCAGACACTGCGTTGGACTTGGCATCGTCTTTTGTATGTTGGGCATGTTGGGTTTCAATCAATTTCAACCTGTTGTCAATAGATATATATTCGCACTTAGGAGCTTGGCAAATGCTCAACATGGCTGGCGGGGTTTTTTGAGTCCAGACAAGGATGAACGAGTATGTGGCAGACACGTGGAAAGGGGAGATCAAAACGGCATGTGTGGTGTCCAATGCAGACTATGGACAAGCCTTGCTGGCCACATCTTTGGCCTGCTTGCTGGATGCACCGCTCTTTGTCACTGACGGCCCTGTGGCTGACGCCAATCTGGAAGAGCTTCTCCCTGACTTCGGAAGCTATCCGTTGATCGTGGTGGGTGACAAATTGGAGGGCAGCAAGGCAGAAGTTGTGGCCATCGCCGGTTTCTCCGAAGCCCTGGCTCATGCGAAGAAGGCCGGGATGACAGTGAACTACATCGCCTTGACCAACCCGGCAGACCGCAACACCCGCAAGCTGTCTTTGACTGCCCCAGTCTATGCAGCAGCGCATGGTGGCATGGTGTTGCCCGTTAAGGAGCTGTGCCACGTTGGCTTTGTGTGGTTCGGCCTCTTTATTTTACATTTTTTGTGGGGGATGTTGAACTGTTGGGCTCCACGCTTGTGAGCTCTGCAGGATGTGGGCATCGGGAAGCCAGGTGCTTTGGATGGGGAGCCTCTCAGCAAGGTCAAGGACCAGCTGGGAGCAGCTTACTCAGCCCTCGGGCAGCACCCGCGCTTCTTGAACCTCGTGGGCAGCCCCGAAGCCGTGCCAGCCTGCAAGACCACGCACGACGTCAACAACTGCAAGGACTTCGCCGTCACGGACTACCAATACGCCACAGTGAAGTTCAACCTGGACGATGCCCATGAGATTGCCGTCTCCAGGTCTGGGCTAAAATCGGGCTGGGTTGATCCGGCGGCTTAGGGCTGCACAAATGGGCAGGCTCATGGTAGGTAACATGCTTGGGCGAGCCGCCAGTTGTGCCAGGTGCTTTACGGAGTCGGCGACGGCGGGATTCCTTCTTGCCACGCGCTCGGTGAACTTCTCCATCTTGCACGGGGAGTGGAAGGCGGCTGGCTTCCCGCCCAGCGTGGGACACACAACCCAAGCAAAACAGCGGAGTAGTCTCGTGGAAGAGGTTGGCGCATGTCCATGTCCGTTGCGAGGGTAAATTGGCTTGATTGATCGACCGCTCATAGTTCACTTGGAAAGCCCCAGCCCCATGCTCTCTAAGAATGCCTCATGTCCGTGCCGGCGTTCTCATACGGGGGTTGCAGTCCAAGTGTGAGCAAGCAGGACAAATTCGTGGACGCTGGGCTTTGGGGCTTCCCAGAGCTGCGGAAGATGTTCCTGAATGTGGGCTACAGCTTGGCGAGCTGCCAGGAGGATGAGAGCAAGCCCCTGCACCAGGCCCCTCGGTGTTTTGACATGGGGGACCCCCCTGGCTTGCCTTTAAAGCCCAAAAAAGGGCACCCCCCAAATGTGCTTTTTTTTCCGCTTGGTTGGTTGCGCCGGTTCTTTCGAAGAGGTGCCATTCATCCCACAACCAATTCTCAGTACAGCAGCCGTAGATCCTTAAATCCTTGTTGTTGTTCAAGTAATTCCTTGCAACATGTAGGCTTTGGGCATCAAGAGAAATTTCCCCATCTTATTAGCTTTGGCAAGCAGCTGAGCTGGAATTGAGGCGCCCGCAGGTCCCCGACGATACGTGAAGATGGTCGAACGAGATTTCTGGGAAAGGCAGCCCAAAACAATATGCGAGGACTCTTTCTGAGCCCACATGGAGCCAATTCGGGTTGCAGAAATCTTCAACCGCATGGGTTCCAACGATTTGGCTTGAAGCTAGGTGGACTTTGAGAAGAAGAACAAGTCCATCGAGGCAGCGGCCATCCTCCACAAAGATCATTCCGGTTGGTCTGGGCTGGGCCAGTGCATCCACCGCCACACCAACGCAATGCGTCTTGATGAAAACGGTGACTAAACGTACCAGCACGTGTTTTAAGGATGCGCACCGGAGAGAGCTTGCTAAAGGCTTGTTTTCTCAGATTGCAGCTGAGCCAAGGTTTGCCCCGTGCGTGATGATCTCAGGGGGCTGCCACGCCGCTGGCATCGACGAAGGCGTGCCTTCCTGCGCCAGCCGCGTGATGGCTCGCGGGGGCGTGTGCTTCACGGGCGCCGCCCGGTGCCCCACAGCCATCGCCACCCTTTGGGGTGTGGCCTTCTACAACGAGCTGCTCTACGA